TATCTCTTGGTACCAAATATATTCATCTCCACCTTTGGATATAGAGGACATTATCTAAATCTTTTTGACTTTGGAGTTTTGGATAGTGTGTAGCAAGAGCTCTAAAAACTTACTGCACCTCATCTCAAGTTCTGAGTTTGAACAGTGGGATGTGGTGTGAAACTACTCTCAGTTATACTTCAAATGCATTGAACTGGAACGTATACTACAAGTGAGGAAAAGAGTTGACTAAAATGAATTAATGGGGCAGGCAAAATAGGAAAATAACAAATTACTGAAACAGACTTGTAAAGCTCCTTAAAACCATAGAAGCGCTAATTAACATGCAGACAGTGAATAGAATATATAATTTAACTGGTCCCCATTAGGCCTTTTAAAAATTAATTTATATGAGTAATCCATAAATCCATGTTGTGAAAAATTCAGACCTACTGAAATATATGTAATAAAATGTTCTCTCCTCACATTACCCTCCCAAAGGTTACCAGTGTTTGCATTTAATAATATATATCCTTTTATGCTTTTTTTCTGTGCACTTAGCTAAGTGTGAATATGTAAAGGGTTTGTTTTGTACATAAATGGGATTATACTAATAAGTAGTGCCTATTTTTAAGGATAGGTTAAATTTGTGAATGATTATTTCAAGTATATTGAATAAAATAAGACAAAAGCTGTTTTTACTTACTGATTCCGTATTCTGTCCTAAAGAAAACATATGCTAAAATAAGAGCACAGTTCTTTCTTACTGCTGATGACAGAATATGGATTAATTGTAATATTCGTGTAAATGAAATTTTTAAAATATGGATTTAGATGTTAAATTTTTATATAGCAATAGAAAGTATCTTACTTGCTAACACAAGTTTTTCTGTGAAAACCAGCTCAAATACACTACCAATGCAGATGCTAGCTATTAAATTTGGAAGACTGCTTAGTATGTCCTGATTGGAAGATATCTCTTAATGGTGCAATATAGTTCATAAATAACACCCATTTATTGAAAATACACAAAATAGTAAAATGCCATAAGGATACTCGGGACAATAAGCTTTTGGGGAATGATAACTTGGTTACAGAACAGGCAAAGAAAAGGGGATATATACACATACAGCCATTACCTTTTGAACTTCATCTACCGTGTGTATCAGCTGTTTTAAGTTTTAAATCTTCAATAAAGAGATAATCTGTATTATGTTCAACCAGTGTACAGCAGCATTAACAAAAGCAGTGCATTTATGCAATTTAAGGTCACCTGATTTTCGACCATAGCATCCAGAAGCCCAGTCCTGAATCTTTTGCTTATAATTGCAGTTTGACATCTGGCATATAGTTTGCCTTCTACAATTGTGGCCAAAGAGAAAAGTAGGAAAACTGGATAAACTCATCAGTTGGTCTGTAACTTCATTCATATCCATTAACATTTAGATACATTTATGTCAAGCTCTCAACCCAGTGTTTGGCATATGTGCACCTGGTTCAGAAGAGAAACCATTCTCGGTTTGAGAGTCAGAAAGGGCTAAGTGAAGGAGGTAGCTCCCAGAAAAAGTAGCATCTACAAGGATAAATGATAAATAATCCCATGTAAAGCAGAATAAATGTCAGGTGAGGTAGAAATCAGCATGAGCATCGAAGAGATAGAGGAAAGGATGAATACAGGCAGGTTTAGTGGGTTTTCACTGCCTTCATCAGGTTTTTACATGCACACTAGGAATTGAGATAAAGCAGATGCCAGTTAAGGAAGCTGCTAGAATTACCAAAATAGCAGTTATTCAAGAGCTTATACAGTTATTCAAGAGCTTATAATTTTTATTCTGTTGTCTTTTAGTTAGTATTTTTAAACCACGTAGAGCCTGTCCACTGTTTCTGCTACCTCTGCTCCTGATGGTATTATTTCCTTGTGCTTTGGTTAATGAACTAATGTTCAGTGAAGTTTTATCTGTGAAAACTCTAAGGTTTAGTATGCCAAACACTCCCCCTTTTCCTTCCCAACCTTGTTGTACTCACCAGCACCTCTTTCCTTGCAGTTTAATAGGGTAGTATGTATCCAGCCTCAGACAGTGGATCACTAGTGAGCTAAGACAATCATAACAAGTCCTTCCTTATTTTCCTAGTCTCTCTTACAGCTAGGTATGGCCATGTTGACCCAGTTCTAGCCAGTAAATTAGAAGTAGAAGTCTCTTGGGGTATTTCTGGAAGCCCTTTTGATTTCTTAATAAGAGGAAATACATATATGGTACTCCTTGTGAATTTGTTACCATAAAGTGCTATAGGGAAATGCCAAGAAAGCCACAAAGATGCTAGTCTTTATATTAAAACTGTACAACTGCCACCTGCCACTTCTCTCCAGATTTCTTATGAAAGGGAAATACAAGTTTATTTAAGCAGGTGAGTCCAAATGGGCTTCCTGTTAAAGTAATGCCTCCTTGGCTGACCTCTGTCTCTCCGAATTCGTTTCTGGCCAAGTGACCCAAGTATGTTATTACCACCAGCTAGAAACTACTTTTCATCTTAGCTTGCTAACACATTGTGTTTGGGGCTTTTAGGCTTACCTTACTTTTAGGATTGCCCTTTTTACTGGGGTGCTCCTGGCTTTAATACAAATGTTAGTTCCAGCTCCCCACCTTGCAATGCCCCAGCTTCTCCCATATGGCTCACAGCTAATGAATCATGTCCATCCATCCTTCTCATGGAATACACCCTTAGGGTCACTTCACGTCTTGTATGTATGTACCTCAGGTTTTTGGACTCCACTTTTGTCCCCTAGTTTATGAATCCTCCCTATATAATTCTATATACCCTATAAAATTATACATCATTTAAATGCTTTTAACTAACAGTCTAGGAAGTAATTCACAGGAAACATGCAACAAGCTACATAGTAACAGGTACACCCTTAGGTAAATACATAAGCAGTCTGGTTTTCTACTCCATCTGAAGTTGGTTAGTTAGTCTGGTTTTCTACTCCATCTGAGGTTGGTTAGCTTAAAACCAAAGTTTTCATTTAAGAGAGAAAAATTACTACCCAGAATTTTTTAATTGTTGATAGTTAGGTAAAATATTCAAAAGGATAGGTGGCCATGAGAATCACTGTTCATCTTCTGTATCTACATCTTTCATCTATATTTTTTTCTGAATGTGGAAAATAAAATCTCATTACAGGAATATATATATATAGGATATATACATAGGATATATACATATAGGGTGTATATATATATATACACACACATAGGATATATATAAAGGATGTACTCGGAAGTTCCAATTTCTCTAATGAACAATCTAAAAACGTCTTAAGTTTACAACCAATGTTTATAACTTTTACACTTTAAAGGCTTATAAACATAGGGTTTATGAAAGGAAGCCATTTACTTCCTTTGTACTTTACTTTCTCATACTATTCCCTAAACATGGACCTAACAGCCAAATTAAGCGCAAATTTAACAAATACTCAAAACTGAAAAGCAAGCCCCTTTAATTATCAACAACTTTTATAAGAGAAACTGTATAGAACACTTCTGGTCACATGCTGCCACCTTTTTATCCCATCCACATCAGGTGGCCAGTTGCTGAAAGGGCTCCACCCAACACCAAGTAACACCCTTCTTGCCTTCCTCATACTCCAGCTTCTCTTCAGACTACATGGGGAAAGTCTGTGACACTCAGCTAGCAGAAAAATGCTTCCCTTGTTTCTCCTCTCCCTCCATTCCCAGGTTCTGTGAGACTTCACTCACCAGCCTGGGCAATCCCAAAATCAGGGCTATGTACCTAACCAACTTACCCTGCCCAGCTTGCTGCCCCTGTTCCCAGCTCACCTTTCCACCAAACACCGTACTGAAGGAAGCTTTTGTTTCAGGCTCTCTCCTTCCTAGGAAAGCCATTCTTAAGACAAAGTCCATATAACGAGTAGGTTAAACAAAGTGTTTATGTATACCCAACTTTTTAAAAATGTTTTTTAATGTTTTTATTTACTCTTGAGAGAGTGCGCACGCAAGCACGCTAACGGGAGGGGCAGAGAGAGAATCCCAAGCAGGCTCCACACTGTCAGCATCTCAGAGCCTGATGTGGGACTTGAACCCACGAACCAGTGAGATTGTGACCTGAGTTGAAATCAAGTTGGGTGCTTAACCAACTGAGCCAGCCACCGAGGTGCCCGTTTTCAAATAAAACTTTCAAACGGTTTATCGTTCTTCATTAGACAAATATTACAGGCATACCTCAGTAATACTGTGGGTCCAAGTGAATCAAGAAGTTTTTTGGTTTCCCAGTACCTATAAATGTTTACACTACAGTCTATGAAATATGTACATAACCTTAATTTTAAAATATTGCTAAAAGATGCTAACCATCATCTGAGCTTACAGCAAGTCATAATCACTGATCACAGATTACTATGACAAATAAAATGAACAAGTTTGAAATATTGCAAGAATTACCAAAATGTGACCGAGTGAGCAAGTGTTAGAAAAACAGCACCAACAGACCTGCTCAGTGCAGGGTTGCCACAAACCTTCCATCTTTAAAAAGCACAGTATCTGCAAAGCACAATAAAGTGAACCGCAGTAAAACAAGGTATGACTGTATTGAATACTAACTTTTAAAAAGGCCATTTAATCTGTAAAGTATTCTTAGTCTACACATCCCATTTCATTTAATGAATGCCAAAAAACTGATAGAGCACCACTAGTTCTAAAACCACTCAGAGCTAGGTACATACCCAAATTCTACCACTTATGAGCTGCATGACTTTAGTCAAATTAGTTGGCCTCATTTTTTAAAAGTTCAGTTTTATTATATATGTTAAATAGGGAAAACAACAGTACCTACCCCACAGATTATAAATCCCACGTGGTTTTTAGTTTCACATACTAGAACTATCTTCTGGCCAGATAAAAACCATGGAAACCATCTCTTATTTTTAGATGTTTACTAAAATTCCTCTTAAGATTTATATGCTCTATTACTTGGTTTACCCTGGAACCAAAGAATCACAAGCAGAATCAAGAGACAAAATTTAATATATGCACACAGTTTTATATATAATGCAGCATCACACCATGTAGGGCATTTACTCTTATTTTATACATTCAGATATGTTTGAAACACTTCTTAAGGCTACAAAACAGAACATAGAAAAATAAACAGGAATATATCCAACACTTACAAAAAGTGATATGATAAAGAATATAAAGTACTATTTTCCTTTCAACACTTCAAAAGATATGTATATATACTTTTTTTTTTTTACAAGTAACATCACAAATGATCACATCTTCACATGCTTTTAAGTATTATTTGTACTCAGTGTAAGGCTATTATCATTTTTCATACATAAATTTTCTTCTAGCTCTGTAACAATGCAATTTTTAATCCATTCAAGTAAATTCAACCCCAAAGTTGCTGTTTCCCAGCATTAAGACATGCACCCACCCCTCTTCTAAGATTTTCTAAAACTTGTATTTCAGGGGGGAAAAAAAAATTCCCATTTAGTGGGAAATCCCAATTAGCGGGAGAGTAAATGGCTGACACTACTAGTAGCAAAACCTTAGTTCTTTGAAAATGACATATTGGAACTGAGCCATTACTAAGATTTTAAACAAAAACAATAGTATTTAGACATTAAATAGGAAGCAAAACACAGTAAACAGAAATCGTGTAGCCAAATATGCATTCTCTTCAGCTACACTAAAATGGACCTTGCTTAGTACCCATAAGTGAAAGACTAAGGTTACCTCATCTAAAACCAAAGGTAAAATAAATGAGGCATAAATAAATATTGCTAGTTTCTAGGATGGCTGAATGTTTTCTAAACCAGAAATGGTCAGAAAGGAACTTTATTGCACCAAGTCAATCATTAGCAAGTTTGCAGTTCACAGGCATTTTAATTCAACCTTGAGTCACAAAGGAAACACACTGCAAGAATATACATAGTTTGCATCAAATAAGCTGTTGTCAGCATGGTGGTTTGGGAAGACCTACTGCTGCCAGGTCAAGGCAGGTTCTGAGCTTAGGTCAGCCATGGAAACGAACATATGGGTTACCAGGAAACACGACAAGGACTGCACAGATGCTAGCATCCTGCTGCCACTGAGTGTGTGGAACAAGAGCTGAAGACGTATCTGAGAGGAAACGAGTGGAAGAGAAATATACACGATACTAAAATGAAAGGGAGAGGAATCAAGTTCAGCAAAACTAACTATAATGAACAGGTGAGCTTTGGTCATTCTAAACATCTGTTCTTCAAAATGTGTATAATCATAATACGGTGAAGTTCCACAATTTCTAACTCAAAATACAAATGATTCTCATTCCTTAGCTTCTGTTTTTCTCTTATACAGGAACATCGTATCTCATATCAACACACTTTTTGACTCAGTTAAAATAAAGGAGGACAAAAGCTTGCTTGGCCCTAATTTGACCTCAGCATAAGGCAAAATCCCCTGCACTAAAACATTTAAAACAAAACTAAAGGAAAAAGTAAAACTGATCTTCACGCAAAGATTAGTAATTTTAAAACTAATTATCAAACGTCAGAATTCTTTTATTCCAGAGGTCACGGAGTAAAGTACAATCTGCTAACGTTCTTTTTCAGCACTGTTTCCGTCATGTCCTGGAGGTAAGATATGGGAAACAGGAAGCAAATCAGTGTTTCCTGCAGGAACTATATATTCTGTTACTCAACTGAGGTAAGACACAGGGACAGTGAAAAAACGAATATTCTTTCCTATCCAATTCTGAGATGTATCCAGAAGAAACCGATCAAATCTCAGTCAGTAAGATCAAAGATACTGGAAAGAGCAATTTTTTGGACTCCTGAGATCAAACTTCTTTGAACGTTTAAATCTGGTCATTATAATCTAAATGTGTTTTCATAAAAATGATCAGATAAGCTAATGTGACATACAAAAAATCATAAGCTCAAAGTGGAGGACCCTATAATCTCATTTCCGTTAATGACTTTTTCTGTTAAGTGAGAAAAAAACGGCTTCGGCAGTACTTGCCCCAATTGTTCTAGCTTAGAAGATGACAACAGAAATTCCTTTCAACAAGTTGTCTCAAATGTTTTTTTTCCACAAGACCATCCATCTTTACCACTTTCTACCTAGCACCATCACAATAAAATGTTCTCTTTCAAAGTGCTCTCTAAAATTCTACGTCACAAAACATCTAAATACTAATCACTACTCAAATCAGCAGTTACACAGACATTAGATCATTAAAACAACACAGAGGTAAATAACCATTATTACAGTACAGTGGAGATTCAACTGAGCCTAGCTGGCATTCAAACATTCCTGTGGGTAATCAGAGAACCCAGAGAACTCATCTGCTTCAGTTTGTCAAATTCAAGTGAATTGTATTTGCTTTTAAAAGTAATTTGCTATTTAAAAAAAATCTGTTTTTGGCTAGGTATATTACACATGGCATGCAAAGAGAAACTTCTACATTATTTGCATAGCACTCAAACTTCCTGATCAAAAGAAAACATGAAGAGTAGATTTTTCACATTGGTATGTACAAATAAGAAACATAAGCTACAGTTATTTTTGTAGAGTAACACAGATCCATGAATACTGTGTTGAGAGTTAAATCTCCAACTGAGAACAGAGTGCAACATGCAAAGTGAATTTCCATGAATACTGCAAAGACCGAAAAGAGGCAGAATCAGGAGATGTTACAGAAGGGGTAACAAGCTATAAAATGCAAAGCAACCATTTTCTAGCAGCATCCTCTAGAAAAGAACTAGAAATCACAATCATCCTTTTTTTTGTACAACAGTTCCAGGCATGTGACAAATTGAACATGCAAATGTAAAGTGATACACATAACGGTGCAAAGAGAGAAACAAAACACAGTAACTCCATAGAAACCTGTCAAGCTAAAAATGTTTTAACATTTCTTCTCACAAAATATTTAAATCTGTCAGTGCATTAGTGTTAAAGTGGCATTAAAAAACTTCTGCAGTTTTAACAGATGCAGATTATTTTCAAAATGCATAGCATCTACATTTCTTTCAAGTAGGCACCATGATATTTACACCAGTGCTAGGAATTCTTGGTGGAAACAGCCATTTCATTAGATATCCTATTATTTCTTAAACATCTGTCTTGTATGCGATCTCAAGTTCAACAAATACTCACCAAAATTCAAAAATATACCCTATGAATATTAAAAGAACTATATACAACATTTCTAAGACACAGGTTAATAGGCTGCCTTATGTGTAATATTAAAGAGAAGACATTATTCAAGTTTGACAGATATTGAGATGAAAGGCCTTTGGGTTGGAAGCATTTCAAAAGACAACAGTGTTTTAGGCTAAGAATTATTTGAGCCCAGTTTATGACTAAGGCATTGCATAATAAAATATACATTTCTATTTGGTGCAATGTTATGTTTTGGAATCTATAGTGTGTCAAATGGTATACTTTTCTTGTCACTTTAGTAAACACTATAAAGCACACATTTCCAACATCTGAAATTAAACTTATATAAGGAAAAAAACCAAACACTAAGTCTAAGTTTTATATTAAGCTGTTTATAAAAAATACTTTAACAAACTTATTTTCTACTTTTTGTGGGGGCAGTTACCTGATAAACAGATTTTGAACGAAGAAAAATGGCAATGCCAGGAATTTACCTGCCCCTTGAACGCATATCCAAAATCTCTTGTCCAAGATGGGAGTAAGGGTAAAGGGGAGGGGAGGAGATAGTTCCAATGTGGGTTTTTTTATTTAATGATTTTGTTAAAGCCTTCAGAAACATTCCATCTAAGAGGTTTCTGCTCTAAAATACCACAGCAGCGACTGTCAAGTGTTTTGTCCCCGATGGCCATCTCCCATCCCAGACCTCCTCCTATCCCCCCGATAGGGCCGTCCTCGGACATTCCGATGGTACTGATAACCTTCGTCTCGGCTTCTGCTTGGCTGCCCCTTCCAGGACTCCTCACCTCGTGCATGCTGATACCCTCCTCTACCAGAAGAGCCCCAATCACTTTTGTACTTCCTGCCTCCGTAAGTCTGGTTGTAAAACTGCTTGGATCTACCACTTCTCAGAATATTAGATACTTCGTTTTCATCTTCTGAACTCTCTTCTTTTGGTCTTTGCACTCTGCTAGCCACAGAGTTGGCCCCGCTGACCACATCAGCAGCAATCTTAGGATCTTTCACTTTTTCTGACTTTTCCTTCAGACTTGGAATGGTCCTTTTAGGCTCAAGTTCAACAGGCACAGTTTCTCTCTCTCGGTTTAGAATCTGAGTGGGAAGATGAGCCTTTTCCTCTGCTACAGGAGGGATGGAAGCCGATGCCAGATCTGTCTTAGGTGTCTGGGATGACTGCTCCGCCCGGCCCTCATGCTTACTCATACCAGCTTCAGGGAGAGAATGTGTACCTTCACTTCTAGCCTCCCGAAACTCATCCACTGCTGAAACTGAACCACATTCTTTAGACAGATCCAGATTTTCCAGGGGTAGATCCAATTCTTTCTCATCAGAGGGCAGAACAATATTCTGCCGCATTACTGGATTTTCTATAAATCCCTGAAAAGGGTATCCATACCAAACATGAGGAAAGAAAGGAGGTGCAATGGGAACTGGGCCTAAGAATGGATTAGGCCCAAAGGACGGTTGTGGGAACATATTCTTGCCACTTAGTGACTCTTCATATTCAGCATGAAGAAGCTGCCCAGAGTTTTCAGATTCAAGATCAGCCTGGTAAGATAACTGTCCGTGACTTTCAGACACCTGAGATGGAGGGATAACCAGAGGTGAAGAAAATGTTGGCGGTCCAATCTCTGCCTGTGGCATCTGACCATTAACACTGGCCTCAGTCTGCACTGGAAAGTGTGCATCGGTACAGGTACAATCACTTTCATTCTGAGTAGAAGGAGCTTCCTGGAACCAAGGATTTGGAGGATACACAGGGACAGAGACCTTTGGGTACATCCTGCAGGCTGCCAGGTAGGCCTGGTGCAGAGGGTACAGGTAAGAATGCGGGGCCCACATAGGACAACTATATGCCTAAAAGAGACAAAAACAGTAACATAAACAAAAGGGAGGAAAAAAGTTTAAGAGTGAGTGCATCAAGTGTCCCGTGCCTGCCAAGACTATATAATCATTGTGACACATAATATGAAAAGGAATTACAAAATTCATTCACTGCTCTAAGATTCTATTCTTTATTCCTATCTGGAAACGAACCCAAAGTCCTGGTATTGAGGTGACAAGAGACAATGTAATGAACCCAACCACGGATTATCATAATCATTAATTCCATCCTTTGGACGTAACTACACATAAATAATTTGTAGTGATACAGGTCCCAGAAACAACCACCACCAAGCACTTGAGCTGCCAGCTTTGAATAGCTCAATCACTGGCTGTTTGGCTTCTGTAGTCTGCATTTGTATTCTGGCTCCACCATTAACCCATTGTGTAACCTCATGCCAACTAGTTAATTGGTCTGGATCTTTCTATTCTACCAGAAAAATACTGGTACAGAAGTAGATGATCCTCAGTGTTAAGACTCTACAGGTCTAGGAGCCAGCCCAGGGGCATTCCAACTGCAAGGGTTGAAGTCAGACTTCCAGTTAGAGAAGGCAACACTGAAAATCTGAATCCTTCTCCTGCAAAGGGCCAGGTAACCACCAAACAAAGAAAATTATGCCAGTTAATTGGCAAATTAACCAATTAGCTAAAGCCAACATTAACTAGGTAAATATAAAATGAGGCAACCAATACGGCAGATGATAAAATTAAGTCTCCTTGTATGAACTGACCAGTGGACTTCATTCCATATTTTAAGTCTAAAACCCACAGAAATTAATCCAAGACAGGAGCTAACAAACACTGACAAGGACATAGAGTTCTCCAGCCTTTCTTTCTAAGGCAAGCTATTGCTAGGCTGACTACTTCCCAAAGGATACCTCTGCTGTGCTAGTGAACACACCACGTCCCACAGGAGAATTTACACAAAGTCTTTCCTTCGATCCTTTCAACAAATGAGGTAGATGGAAGAAGATTATCCACATAACACAAATGAAAAAAGCTACACTAAGATAACACTAAATGACCTGCCCAGAGATATACAGCCAAAAAATAATGGTGCAGAATTTCAAACCCAGATCTTTCACTGAATCCCCCAATGAGGGCATTGTCACTAGGGTACCCCAGGGATGAGGACTGTTTCCTGAATATACTCACAGGGTTAAGCCATTTCCAGTTAAAAGGAAAAGCAAGCAAGTTCTAGAGCCTCAACCACTATCAAAAATAAACAATATAGTACTGAAAATCCTAGTTCTTAATGTGATCTAGTAAATCTTAGGCTGTTATTCACCAACAGGGTAGGAGTTAAGATTATGTAAATACTAATAATCTAAAACAGTATTAACTTAAAAATAACTTTAAAATGTAAAATGTAAATACCTTTACACCAAGATTAAAGAAGAATCGAAGAATGTTCTTATCTAAAAATAAATAACATAATAATCACTATAAGTACACATTCAAAAAGGAATTTTTTTCCATTATCCTCAAACAATATAGCTCTAAAGACAATTTTGCCTACTCAAATCGATCCATCTAACCTGTAATATAAAACATAGATAAAAACGGTAATAACCAAAACCAAGTTCTGTTACTATAAGGTAATTCCAGGTTCAATATGCTTTGTCTATGCTAACATCTAAGTCCTAAAATGGCTTGAGATTTTTATCTGATTAAAATTTTGTGTGAAGGAAACTCAGGCGTTCAGTGTTATTTTCTTTTTCAACTTTTCTATTGGGGGTTTAAAAATTATGAAATAAAAATGTTGGGGGATAAGAATAAAATTGACATAAACCTAACTCATTAATAACATAACATTAGTAGGTACTCATCTGACATTAACCAATTATCCACAGACTCAAACAACCAAACCACTAATAAAACAAAATTGTCCACAAAAATCAAGGTAAAGACCATAAAGTCACTGCATTACTCTTTCAATTTTTTTGACAGAAAATTTTGCAAACTAAAATTCCTTTAAAAAATCTTCTCATTTTTTCATGGAAAAATAGGAGTGGTCTCAAAACCCTGAAAGTTCAGTGATGAGAAAACTCAGTGACGTTTAATTACCTAGTTGATGACATTATTAAAATTTAATTCAAAATGGTTTTAGGCTGTTTTTGAAAAAACGATATAGGGGAGGGATAGTTACTAAATATACAAAAACCATATTCCAATCAAACAAAAGCTGAAACAACAAAGTGAACTCCTGATAAGCCAAGTCCTTCTTACGATCAGCCCTTTGGCTTATTCAGTAACATAACATCTGATCCCTATTTCACATTTCCTGCTGAACCCACATCAGTATTTGGTAAATAAAATCATTTAGAACTTGGAAAAGGATCTCACCCTTAGGCAGGTCCTCCCCAGTGTGACACAGTGAATAAGGTGGTGCAATGGCTCGATCTCCCTTTTCGTTATAAGGAAACCCAGGGTAGAGTGGGTCCTGGTAAAGGCTCAATGTCTGAGGCAAAGGCATCAAGGGCTGGTTAACTGCCTGTATTGACACAGGAACTGGAGAGGGTGTTAAATGAGCTTGGGATACAGCAGAATCAGGTCCAGTGGTCAGAGTCTGTGTCACTGACAAAACAGGAATTTGAGCAGGGACACCTACAAAAGAGAGGAAAGGGGATCACAAGGTATAAAAAGGTGAAAATACTTCTCCCTACAAATAAAGTTTACAATTAAGCTAAAAGGTAAAGAATGCTGTACAACTAACATAGCTGATAAAAAGGTTATTTAAGCAATCTAAAAAAGCACCTTTTATACCAACTAAGAACCCTCCTAGACACACAGGAGGAAATGAGCCCAGGAAACAAGCTTTAAGTCAGTCTTCTAATAGTAGCTCTTACAAATATGAGCAAGACACGAAGCCTGGCAAAAGGTTCAATGGATGGGGCAGGGGGAGGATAAAGTGCTGTCAATGGAAAATGCAAACTGTGATGTCAGTGCTCAGCATCTAGCAGAGACAACCAGCTCAAACATATTGCTTCTGAAATTTTGAGGTTACATCTCAAATGAATACCAAATGAAACTGGTCCTCCCACACTAGAAGCAGAGCAAAACAGAGGATCACAAAAAGCTCTGTGAGGCTCCACACAGCTAACCCTGCTCTGAGGTCAAGCTATCAAGAATTTGAAGTCTCTGAGGTGCCTGGCTGGCTCAGTCAGCAGAGTGTGCAACTCTTGATCATGGGGTCGTTGAGTTTGAGCCCCATGATGGATATAAAGATTACCTAAGAAAATATTTTTTAATATGACAACTTAAAAAGTTTAAAAGTAAGGAACTTAAGTTTCTGACTTGGAAAGCTTTTGTTGGCTGGTTCAAGGAACTTTTTAATTCTTATCTAACCTGTTGGTCCAAAAGTTGTAGGTTCACTTGGCCAGGCTGGCACAGTGGCTGGTAAAGAAGGCACCGCAGGAGTTAGATGTACCTCTGGAGAAACTAGAAGGGGAGCTGGATTTGACAAAGACACATGTTCTGCTGGCTTCTTCAAGAGAGGGGGTGGAAAAAGACAAAAGTTCATTTTGCTTAACACTAATTTTAACACCAAATGTACCCTGAGCTGCCTTTTACATAACTGCAACTTCTATATAGATTTTTCTGATCTTAGAAATCAAAGAAAACACAGTAGCTAAAATTTCCACACAAACAAATTTAACCCTAAGCAAGGATTGCCTATCGAAAGTCACAGAAGACACCTGGAAGAGACAGAATCAAACTTTAAAGCATCTTAAATAATGCTTTTCAGGAAAGAAAGAAAAAAATCACTGAAATCATTTTGAAATTCATGAGTTATTTAGAACTGCTCTTCACACAAACACATACCATAAACTGTATGCTTTCCAGTGAACATGAAGAATGTTAACTGATAGGCAAGGAAGGACTAAGAACTTTATTCCTATATAAGACTGAGAACCAAAATATCTGCTGGAACTCAAGTTCCTTCTTCATTAAATTTATAAACTGTGGTATTACATTCTAAATGTATATTTTTCTAATCTTGTCAATCATCATATTCCCGCCCTTCTATGAACTGTTAAAGATTCAGACAACTCCTTGGGAAGTTTTAAAATAAAGTAGAAATTTTAATTTCCCTTCAAAAATCTAATTTTCAAGCCAACCCAACCCACCATAAAGATAACAACAATACAACAAGTTTCTTCAAAATCAATTCACAAGTATGGTGCTTCTATGTCCAAAACATGGGAACTATAAAAATAACATGCCAGGCGGCGCCTAGGCGGCTCAGTCAGTTAAGCAACCGACTCCAGATTTCAGCTCAGGTCATGATCTCAGAGTTCGTGGGTTCAAGCCCCGCGTCGGACTCTGCTGACAGCTCACAGCCTGGAGCCTGCTTCAGATTCTGTGTCTCCCTCTCTCTCTGGCCCCTGCCCCCACACTCTCTCTCTAAAAAAATAAACATTAAAAAAATTGTTTTAATAAATAACACTCTATGGAGGCATCTGGCTGGCTCAATCACTAGAGCATGAAGCTCTTCAGGTTGTGAGTTCAAGCCCCACACTGTGTACAGAAACTAAAAAATAAAATCTTAAGGGGTGCCGGGGTGGTTCAGTCAGTTAAGCGTCAGATTTTAGCTCAGGTCACGATTTCACAGTTTGTGAGTTAGAGCCCCATGTCAGGTTCTGTGCTGACAGCTCAGAGCCTGGAACCTACTTTGGATTCTGCATCTCCCTCCTCTCTGCCCGCCCACTGCCGCCCCCCCTCCCCAGCTTGCATTCCATCTCTCAAAAATAAACATTTAAATTTTTAAAAAAATAAGTAAAAATAAAAAAATAAAATCTTAAAGGGGCACCTAGGGGACTGAGTCTGATAAGTGTCTGCCTCTGGATTTCAGCCCCGGTCATGATCTCACTGTCGTGAAATATGAACCCCACCCTCAGGCTCTGCACTGACAGCAAGGAGCCTGCTTGGGATACTCAGTTTCCCTCTCAAAAAATAATAATAATAAATTCCACAAAAAATGAGAACATTCTAGACTAAGTGACAATCATAACTGTACCTAAATTATGATGCTAGAATAAGGTCTCCCATTTTTGTCTTCATATTCTTACTTTAAAGACAGAATGGGGAAGAGGGGCAGGAGAGAGAGAATGCTAAGCAGGCTCCAAGCTAAGCAAGGGGCCCAATGTTGGGCTTGATCCCACTAACTATGAGATCATAACCTGAGTAAATTCAAAGGTTTCTTACTTCTTTGTATGATGTTTAAAGAACAGGAGCGCATGGGTGGCTCAGTCAGTTAAGCATCTGACTCTTGATTCTGGCTCAGATCAGGATCTCAAGATTGTGGGATATCAAGCCCCATGCTGGGATCTGTGCTGAAAGCATGGAGCCTGCTTAGGATTCTCTCTTCCTCTTTCTCTCTGCCCCTCCCCTGCTTGCTCTTTCTCTCTTAAATAAACATCATAAAAAGAAACCCAGAGAATGAAGCATTCAATGTCAAATTCAACAATGTACTTACTTGCTCTGCAGGTGGGCATTCTAATTTCTTTGACTTTGATGGTGATGAAACTCTTGTACATTTATCATCACTAATATTCTTTGGAAGCAAAACAAAAGGGAAATTTTATATTTCAAAGACTGAAATTCTATGATAATCATGGTTGTCTGTATAGTTCACCCTACCTGCACCTGACTGAAACCTCTTCATGACTAAATATTTTTTCAATTATACCTGGTCTTAGACAGGTAGGTAACTCAGCCTTCACATCTTGATCATATCAAACTGTTAGGCAGTTTTTACTGGGAACATGGTTTCAAAAATTTTTTTAAATTTCAATCTATATACAGTAATGGAAAGTAAAAGCTACTCTCCACCAATTCAGATAGGTAATCATCATGTAGCTTTAAAGAAATGGTTATTAATTTGAGAGTGAATTCTCCTCAAGCACTATCATCCTTTCCCAATTTTTTCCTCGGCTTTTCTACTTCTGTAACAGTTATGAAATGATGAAATCACCTCCAGCTTCTCCTTCTACTTCTTCCTGCTAAATTATCAGTGTTTAAGGGGGGAAAAAAAGAAAAGATGCAATTAGTATTTAAAACATTTACCTCCAATGTGCTTGTCTCAGGTTTTTTATCCAAGTGCATATGTCCATGGACAGAGTCTATAACAGACCAAGATTAAAAAAGAAAACAGTATCAACCACTAGACAGTCCTGGTCTGAGAACAGAATAAAACATGAAGACAGATAAAGCCTAAAGGACTATTTGAACTGTGTTTAATCAGTGAAAAATGCAGTCTTCAAAATAACATTTAACATGCTTTAGCTTGAGTCAACGTGTCTCTGCAACAGTGAGATACATGACATTACACTGTTTAATGATTTAAAAAGGGTTCTTTCCCAATGTATGACTTTAAACCAGACACAGAGCTCTAGCATCTGCTTCCAAATGATGAAATAACATACCTTTATCTTTCCGTTCTTCGGTATCCATTCTCCGCCTGCTTCCTTTTCTATCACTTACATGTGACGATTTTCTCTGGACACATGGGTTGCTACTCTGAGAAGCTGACTGACTGACTGATGAGCTCTTAAAATGAACAAAAACCCAACACTTTGTTTTAAAGATTTACCCACAAATACCTGAACAAAAGTCTTGTAATTAATCTTAACTCTTCATAGAGCTGGTTAAAAATCTCCATATTCATAGCCCTATGTCTTTATACGTCCAAAACCACAGAAAAATAGGACACAGGGTTGAGGTTTAATTATATACTCTACAGCAACAACCTTATTAATAAATCAAAAATATTAGGCAATCAGACCTTCAGCCCAAATCAGGAGAGTGATACTTCTTCTTATCCCCCTTCAGGAAGTCACCCTTACCAAACCTTCACCTTGCTACTTCCACTTACATATTCTGCACGAAGAACAACACCCTTCATATCAACTTTCAAAACCAGCCATTGTAGGGCCACAATCCTTTGTGAGGGAAAGGAAAAATACTCAACTGCAAACTAGCAGATACAGTACGCCAGAATTCATACCACTAAAACGCTGTCAGCAAATCACTTAAGCTCTGCATGAGATCCAACCTTCTAATTGGTGAAACAAAGGGACTGGAATAAGTCAGGTTTCCAAGCTAACCTATCACTGAAAGTCCTTTCCTCCTCTACCTCTTAGTGAATAAATGTTGCACACAGCTGAGAATAGGATCTCAGCCCTCTGTGGCAGGAGTTTCTAGAAGACAAACCTGAGTCACTATCAAGTTCAAGACATGTCTACAGGTCTAAAAATGGTGAGTATGACATCCCATTTTAATAATCAAAAAATTTCAATTTATTCCATTTACAGTGGTTGTATTTTTACCATTCACTAACAACAACGCAACAACAACAAAAATAAAAGAAAAAAGCTAGGAGTACAAGCTTAAATGATGTGTACTTTTTTATTATCTGTATGTTATGGGAAAATAACATCTATCACACTAAGACAAATGTACTTAGCATACAGACCATACCTAATGCACACACAGATTTGGGCACATCTTCCAATAACTAAGCTCCAATCCCTGTGCCAGACTGAACTACTATTCCAGATCAGTGGTTTTCAACTGAGCATCTGATACCTCTAAAGGATTCCACAGAGATCAGAGGACAAAGGAGGAGTGTATGGTGCTTTAATGTTTTATACTAGTATACCTGGCAGCCTCCTGTAACATTCTACTGTATTCATTTAATCCACTGTAAAGAAGAAAGTGCCTAACCACCATTTCAGAATGCACTTAGTACTACTTACCAATATTTAAAAGACAACTGGCAAAGGGAATCCAATGCTCCCAATGCACCCTCCTTACAGAGGATTTTACTTCACTCTGTATAACAACTGTTTTTCCCTTCTGACTCCCCAAAAAGAATGAAGAAACCCAAGGGTAGAGAACATTTCTTTTATCAGAGAAGTAGCCATCATAGCCCAGCATCTGACACACAGAGCAAGGGCAAAGCCACAGGGTTACATGTACTAGTACTTCCCAAAAGCAAACACTCTGAATGACAACTCTTCTTGGATATATTAGGTCCTGGTGTGTTTAGTAAAGGACACTGAAGAGTTTCCTCATTTTATAGATGTATCTTTTTTACTGAATGTGAACATCTATTTCATAAATAATAAATGTATTTTGTTTTGGTTCAAGAAAAAATACTAAACTAGAAGTGAGCTAACCAATTTACTTGCATCAACTCTGCCAACAACCAGCAGTATCTTCAGACCTCATCTTCTTCGTGAATAATGTAAAAAGGAAGGGCAACTAAATGATCTTTAAGGTAATTTTCACAGTTTAAAACTTACTAATCTACCATTAGAAACTATGGTTTCATATAAAAACTATATCAAGGAGAAGCTTCTAAACAACTTTTAAAATCTCTTTTTATACATACGGAAAGGGCTGGGAAAGCCTGTTCATCTCTGTTCTGAATCTCATAGAGTAAACGAGATTCTTCTATAGCTTGCTTCTCTCTGCGCTCTTCTGGGGAGAGGCCAAAATAGTTAGATTCTCGACTCGTGTGATCAAAATCCTCAGCTCTCTCACGATCAGGTTTTCTGTCAAATAAAACATTCTCGTCATGAAAAAAAAAAAGACAAAATGTGTTGAGTACCTAAAATAAAATAACCTTTTTTGCAATACAATATTTGACTAATTTAGCTACACTATGATATTACAGAATTTTTGGCAGCCTAATAAATGTTTAGTAAATGGAAGCTCCTGTAGCTCAGGCTACATGATAGGGTCAAGAAGAGTAACAACAGGAGGGGAAAAGAAAATAAGAATATAACTCACTTCCAAGTGATACAGAAGTAATTGATATAGGAGTAATTAAGATTTTTTTTCTTTTCATCAGGGCAGAAATTTAACCACTTATGTATACTCTATGCCATATTCCAGTACTCTCAGATAATTCACTTTTTAAAAAAAGTTATTTAGTTTAGAACTCAAGAGCACTGTCATTTTCTGTATTTAGTAAAGACAACATTCAAAGCAGACACCAGGACCATCCTCCTGCTTTTTGGATGATACCAAGAGAAACAGAAAGCTGAAAAGAATAAAAATTAAAATACACTGACTAGATAGTAACTGCAAATAAGACTACCATCACCTCATTGTAAGTCTGGTCCAAGAAACATGACAAAAAAATACATGAATAGTTTAGTAGCCTATAACATAACTCTAATGTTTTGTGTATATGGCTTATATAGGCAGTATGAATACTGTTTCTACCATGTCAAATAGTTCCACAACAGTGGAAAATGAAAATCCAAAACCTACAGGAAAAACACGCTGTCACAATACAAAAACATATAACCTTCCTTTAAAGCGTGAGGACACAATGATGCCCTCTGATTTTTTTTTTTTACCTCCAAAATTACGAATAGCCTTTTCATGTCTTTAGATAAGCCCACTTAAAATCACACCCTAATTCCAGTAGAGCATATGTCAACCCCAACTGGGAAAAAAAGGGCAGAGGAGCAAATGTGGACCTTCATAATCTTAGTTAGACCAATCTTTCTCAGATCCCAGAGAGCATGCAGCACATGCCACACATCTCTGGAAAGCTAACACTACCCTTATACTATGTCCCATCACCCAAAACTGTCCATCTCACCCTCACCCACCACACAGCAAAAACCAAATCCTTTCTATTTGCATTTTGCTAGAGAAGAGATAGTCAGCAGTGACATTACTCTCTTTCAGCACTTGCACAATGAAAGCATACATGTCAATCCTAGACTGGATTCTATTATATTTTATTATCTCCGAAGGGAAAGACCAGTATCAGTAAGAAATGAAAAAGTGAGGTCTCACACCCAACATTACAACTTCTTTTATTCTATAAATGAAAAAATTCAAAACTGATGTGTTAAATATAAGAAATAAAGATAAACCAATGGGGTTAAACCAATTGGACTATTAGCTATAAAACTCCATGCTTTAAATTTTTCTTTATATAGAATTGTTACTATTATTATTATTGGGTATTCAATCATCAGCAGTCTCTACGTTAGTTCCAGTGTACTAGTAAAATTCACCCTCAAAACCACAGTGGAAAAGGCATACTAACTGCAAATACAATAGGTTCCTAGGTAATCAGTCACAATGTCAAAAATTCTTTAAAGCTTTTTATTTATATGTCACCCACTGCCTTCTCCTATCAAGAGTTTTAATATACAACTAACGCATTAAAAAAAAAAAAGATCCTAGTAAGACAAAGACACTTCACAGTTGTCTGATTATTTTACCAATTCCTAAGAGATTGGCTACAACACAAGAAACACAGTGGACATAAACTCAATTTGTGATAAACAAAACTATAAAATTAGTCATTTAGTACTGTATTTTCTTTAATATTTAAAAAAACACTAAAGAGTATCTTTGTGTTCAAGGGAAAAAAGTTTCTTTTCTAGTCTATTAAAAAGGTAAGAATTTTATTAAAAGAAAATCTCAATTCTGCCTATGACGTTCCTGTATTTACTTCACGTTTTTAGGTTTCCAAAGTTAATATTCAAAATAAGTTAGTCCTCTTAAATACTTTGCCTCCTTTGAATAAGAAGCCACCGGATGTTAATACAGTTTAACATCCAAACAACAGACTTTAGCCACAACTACTTGATTAATGACTCTAATTCTGTCTGTGAGGAGCAATAACCCACCAGGAGCCCTGAATGTCCCTACACATTATTGCTGGGTTTGCCAAGAACTCAAGGCCCTGACTACTCTTTGCCCAGGCCAATTCTCAGGACTGTGTGTATATGACTAACCCTCTCTCTCTGAAATAGAGTGCACACACACAAGTCGGGCAGGGGCAGAAAGAGAGAAAGAATCCTAAGCAGTCTCTACACTGATAGCGGATGCAGGGCTCAATTTCACAACCATGAGGATCATGACCCGAGCACACCTGAGCCAAAATCAAAAGTCAGACACCTAACCGACTGAGCCGGCCAGGCGCCCCTCTTCTGAATGATTTTTAATCATTCATTCTCATTAGAACTTTTGGAAAGTTGGATTATGAATATATATCTACTTTTTACAAATTTATAAAGTACCCCTGCAGGGATACTGCTAATGCTAGTTGTCTCTGCAGAAGGAAACTAGATCACTGGGAAAGTAAGGATACAAAGAATTATCAGAATAACCTTTTGAATGTTTTAGACTTTGACCAATAGAACTTCCTACCCTTAACAGTGTGTTAAACTAAAAAGAAAAATGTAATAGACTTGAAGTATTGGTGTTTTTTATAAGTAAACTGTGCTTTCCAAAAAGATATGTTCAAATACATATATACCTGATACCTGTGCATATGACTTGACTTAAAAACAGGGTCATTACAGAAGTAATCAAGTGAAGACAAGGTCATGCCAGGGTAGGGGGGCCCTAAAGCCAGTATGACTGGTATCCTTATTAGAAGAGAGACAGACAGAGGGAGAACTGCATGTGATGACAGAGGCACAGGAGTGATGCATCCACAAGCCAGGAACACCAAGGACTGTAGGCAACACCAGAGAGCAGAGCAGGAAACAGATTCTACCCCACAGCCTTCAGAAAAAACACAGCCCTGCTGACAGCATAATTTCAGACTTCTAGCCTCCAGGACAGTGAAAATAAATTTCTGTTGGTGGAGCACATGAATGGCTCAGTCAGCTGGGCATCCGACTTTGGCTCAGCTCATGATCTCACATTCTGTGGGCTCAAGCCCTGCATCAGGCCCTGCACCTGACAGCGAGGAGCCTGCTTGGGATTCTGTCTCCCCCTCTCTCTGCCTCTTCCCTGCTCACACTCTCTCTCTTGCTCTCTCTGAAAAATAAACATTAAAAACGTGTGTGTGATCCTTTAAGCCACCCAGTTTGTGGTACCTTGCTATAATAGCCCCAGAAAACTAAGACCATATTTGTACTATGTCAGCCTGGGAACCTACAATTGTCTAGAAGATGTTACATAAGCTGTCTTTAATGACAAAAAGTTCAGTATATTCCCAAGAAAGGGGAATGCCCAAAAGCTAAAAATAAAGGAACTAAAAACCAGAGCTAGAGCTCAGCAAACACACAAACTGATGCTGTAACTGTTCGGGCAACTGGGGACTGGAAGTCTGGAATGGGGAAGGCCCTGGTCCCAGTAACCTAGGAGGGCTCCAGCACCCACAAGAGTCACGGCCAAGTGTGCAAGAAAAGGACTGCCTCAACTTAGACACATCTTCTCAAATAAAGTTCCTCCAAAGGGCTATAAGCCACTCCACAAAAAGACAGATTAGGGGGAAAAAAATTCCTGTGAGTCACTGCACAGGAAAATTATGATCCTGAATATTCAAATTGCTAATCTTCATGATTACTTTACTTACAAAACTTGTAGCCTCATTCGATGAAACACATTACCACAAACAACTCAACCTTATCAGAACAAATGAAACCAACCATTTTGGTTAAGTTCCTGCATAAACAGTATATAAAGGGAACACCCCCACCCAAGGAAGACAATTTGAAATTCAGCATTTAACATATTACAAGCTACCAGAAAACAATTAAGTGCAAGAATAAGATCTGGCTATGATAAGGTCTCCCAAATCATTTGAAAAAAAAATTATTCAAAAATAAAGATGGCTTACCCTAAAATTACTCTGACTTACCTGAAGAGAATTAGGTAATCATAAAGAACTAAAATTTTCACATGGTATTTTGTCAACAATAGTTTTAGATATACTATAGGCAAGCAAATGAACAAAAAGTTGTAAATGTTTCAACACATGGGATGTGGCACATTAAAGAAATGTTTCTCAATTTATATTTCTCTTGCATTCAGAAAGGTGGTACCTTATGATCTGTGAGGGTGTCCTATTAAGATTTTTGTGCTCGCTGGAGGGTTTCTGAGACTGTGACCCTGCAGAATGACTGGAGAATGCATGTTGTCTTACTCCTGAAGGATGCTGGAGTCGAGGAGGTAGTGCTGATGGAGCTTTTATTGGCTTGCTTTGATTCTTTGGCCCTCTGTAATCCATGTCTGCGACAAGAAGCCAAAAATTACCTCATCATTTTCCTATAATAATTTAAAAAAAAGCCCAAGTACCATCACCCCTCCTCCAAAGAAAGATTAATCTGACATAATCCTAACCAGAGTGGAAATTCTGTCCAGAAGTGGAAGGTTTTCTCATCTTCTTCCCTGATACAGTGTTCCAGCTTTCTGAGGGAGGTGGTTTGAGGTTCTTCGGGGAGTGTCTTTAAAAGAAAGAAAAACACTTATTTCTTTTAATGGTTATTTATTTAAGAGACAGAGAAAGAAAGGGGGGCATGCACACAGAGAAAGGGAAAGACAGAGTCCCAAGCAGGCTCTGCACTTCAGCACAAACCCGACACAGGGCTCAATCTCCTGAATCATGAGATCATGACCTGAGCCAAAATCAAGGAATCAGATGCTTAACCTACTGGGCCACCCAGGAGCCCCAGAAAGACTCACAGTAACAAAGTATTCCTAGAAAGAAGATCGATTTAAGTATTCTGTATAAATATTTTCAACTTATAAAAGAATTTAGTTTCATAGTTTCTTAGATTAAAAATCAAAATACAAAGCAATCCAGATGTGATTCTAGTCAACAAAGGTGACCTAAATCAAAAGCATATTTTCTAACCTAAAAAGATGAAAACTGAAAACCTTTACTCACAATCTAAGCAAAAGATCAGACTAAAAAGAAATTCTATTAGAAGTGATGATAGTGCTATAATTAAGGTAGGGAGGGAGGAGTCCTTACTATGTTAGAGAAACATACAAGCATGTAAGTGTCTATTAAGAAATGGTGTGGTAACTGGGATTTGCTTCAAAATACTCAATTCCATTCCCACTTTAAAAAGGGGGGGGTTTAAGGAAAACAGATTAGAAAAGATTATCAAAAGCTGTTAGTTGCTCAACAAGGTGATGCTTATACTGGGGTTCACTGTACTGTCTTTACATTTGTGTGTTTGAAATTTTCCATACTAAAGATTAGGTGTGACTTACTACCCTGTTTTCTAATAAAGACAGCAGCAACTGAAACAAAAGGTGCTGTAGAGGAAGACCGGCAGCAAGTCAGCCACAGTACTTCCCTACTCCATAGGACATTTACTAAAAACTAACTACATGCAATTCAGTGCTAATTTAAAATTAGAAATGAATATGGCCCGTGTCCTCCCATGTTCCCTACTTTATAGTGTCAATTTTCCAAAGTGACTTTGTAAAAAACGGCACATTTTAAACTATAAGCAACAAAACAGGTTTTTAAAATATGTTAACACACAAAACACAAATTTAAATTCAAACTGTTGTTTCAAGAGATCTAAACAAATACATTTCCTACTAAGAGGCAATATTTTTGGCTGAATTTACAAATACACAAGGCCATTTAGAAATAAACATGATTTAAGCTAAATGGAAGAGACCATAAATGCTTTAGTTGAATGAAGAGTAGCACATACTTCTTTCCAAGTTCTTCGACCAAAACTGGCCCATTCTCAGAGTGAACCCCTTGAAAGTCTGCATTAGAAAATTTTCCATTGTGATCCAACCTAACCTGTTGAACAATTCCAGAAAGAAAAATCAGTCACCTGCTTCCTTTGCATTAATGATCACCTTTTAAAATTTTACCATTTTCAGTTAGAGAGAAGATACACTGTTAAAAACAAGTTCAAAAGCGTACACCATATATCTCTGACCTCCCAGACTCTGTATCTCCAGCTAAAATACTTATCTTTGTTCACACTTCCAAAATTTTATGAACTGTTTTTGTTAAATAATTCAGGGAGAAGCAGGAGCACAATCTATCAAGGGTCCAAACAAGAGACAGCATGTCCTGTTCTGAACAAAGGACTATAGCACTGCACACACCAGGATTCTAGGCCCATCTTTTGTACTTACCAGCAATATGGCCTTTGGCAAGTTACTTATTGCATGCTTCAGTGTCCTCCCATGCAAAATCGAAATAACATTAATACCTACATCATAGGACTCATGGAGATGGAATGAGGCACATAGCATATACAGAAGGGACACTAACTGCAATTGTACACAGCAACCACTCTATGAATGCAAGCAATTATTATTGTAATTACTACTGTCTTCTTACTTTTCCAATATTGACAATGTATAACTGTGACTTTTTCTCCTTAAAAATAGATCCATCATGTTATCTAATATACAATTATTATTACCCAGTAGCAAGCTGTGACAAGTCTTTAAGTTTCTTCCTATAATCAAACAGTACTCAATGCAGGGTACCTGCTGATCACTGCACTAGAGCCCAATGTACAGCACCATTTCAAGTTAACCTTTTTTTTTTACTAGATCAAAGTCCTAAAGCTGAGGTTTCATTACTCATTGAACTCAAAAGGACATTTTGCATTCTTCTCTTCAAGAGATTAACAATAAAACAGATCTTTCTTAAGTTCATTTGCATCAAAAATCTAAACCACGTCTTACATGCTTGAGTAAACAAAGGTCACCTTTGAGTCATAGCAAAAAAAATCTGTTTCCATAACAGATTTCAATTAAATTTTACCTGAGTGAAATAGTCTAGGAGATATAGAAACAAAATACTCTAAAAAAAAAAGCAAGTTATCTGCTTTACTATCTACTTTCTCAACGGCATGTATTTTACCAAAACCAACTGCAACCTCAAAGGAAATATGCATGATTTAAAATAATGAGTAACAGTTTTACTGATGCAGCATAAGATAAGCATTCTTCTCTGTTAAGGAGGAGTGAGAAGGGAGGGAGGAGTCCTAAGCCCTGAATTTACTCTTTGGTTTTTTTCCAAATCACTGTAACAAAAAATTCCACAATTCTGTTCTGTGAGTATATACCACATTTCTGACAATTCCGTAAGGAAGAACCTAAATGAATCATATCCTCTTCTTTCAAATACTGCAGAATCAGAACACTTTTAGAAGTTCTTAAGATAGACTGTCATTCATGCTGATATAATCCTGGTCAATTGGTTACTTTTTACAAACTACTTTACCACACAAGAAATGAGTGTTACCTCCACAAGTTAAGGAAAAATGTTTATCAACGGCTATTTTAAAGTAGTTTGCAAACGGCAACACTTTTCAATGAAAACGATTTTTTAGGAACATTATCCTCAAATAGTATTTCTGTGTACATAGGTTATTTTCTGTCTTGGAAATAGTTTTCTTCCACAAACAAAAAACAGAAAAGGAACCTTGGAAATTATCATTTTTCCAGCTTTGGCATTATTGATTCTAAGCTGGACAAGCATTTGTTGGGGGCCTGGGGAGAATGCCCTGCGCACTGTAGGATGTGTCGCAGTATCCCTGGCCTCTACCCAGTAGATGTCAGTGGCACCTCCCAGTTGTGACTACAAAAACTGCCTGCATACATTGTCAAATGTGGAGTGAGGACTGCAAAATCACTCTAAGTTGAAAACTGATCTAATCCACCTTTCCCCTTTTCCAATCCGCTACTTAAATCCAAAGTGCTATTGCTACTTCCTTCAAACAAGTAATATCAAAGACTGACATTGTTCTTAAAAATCATGTGAGGGGATGCCACAGAGATACATAAAACTTTGGTAATGTAGTCTAATGGTTCAAAAAGCTAAATATTTACAACTATTAAAATGTGTGTGTGATAAAATATCTTCTAAAATCTCAAATTAACAACACATCAAACTTGAGCTGTTTTCTCAAATACTATTAGAATAAAATAAGATTTCAAGTAAAATCTTTTCTTCCTATACATAATCACTTACTTGGCATTTATCTCCAACTTCATACTGTAGGCCAGCAGCAATGGAATAATCACGTTTTTGTTGAGCTGTAAATAGTATCAGTAGAATATCAAGTTGACTTAATTATTTTCAAGTGCCACAAAGCAAATTTATGGAAAAGTCAGATTTTTTAACTCACCTTGCTTAGACTTCAGCCAAATTTCATATTCCACATTTCTATAGACTGCTGGATTGAGTGACTTAAGAACCTTTCTAGACAAAGGAAGGCTAGGAGAGTTCCCATTGTTTTTCGGGTGCTAAATAAACAAAGTCAGGAAGTCCAATCAACACAGAAAAGCTTTTAAAACATTTTTGAGATATGTATAATAATAAAATCAAATAAAGAAGCTAGCTTACAAAATTAGGAAGCCTTATTACACTGTGTTAACTAACTTCAATTTAAATTAAAAAAAATAAATTAGGAGGCCTCTAATATTTTTCTCACAGAGCCAGATGATCCTGACTCCACTGAAAATGTTAAAGAAAAAAAAAATTAAGACTAAATTCATATGCTTATATGGAAGAACTAGTTAAAACCATTAGGAAAAATACCTGATCACTTGACAAAGCTTTAACTCCATTCACATCATTAGCAGTGGTAGTTTTACTCCTACAAAGAAAGAAATTTAACCTTAATTAAAAGTACAAAAATGTGTTTATGCAATTAACTTATCCTAACCTCATACAAAAATCTCCAGTTATATTCCAAAAAGTCAAAGCTATATTCCAATGAGCTCATAGAAGTCTTAGTATAAATGTGCATTTATACACATACATACACATGTGTGTGTGCAAGTAAGATATAAATCAAAAACTTTTATCAGTAATTTTTTTTAATATTTATTTTTCAGAGAGAGCGAGCAAGCATGTGAGCAAGCAGGGGAGGGGCAGAGAGAGAGGAAGACAGAATAGAATCTGAATCAGACTCTAGGCTCTGCATTGTCAGCACAGAGCCCGATGCGGGGCTTGAACCCACGAACCGTGAGATCATGCCATGAGGCTGAAGTCAGATGCTTAACCAACTAAGCCACCCAGGTGCCCCTCAGTAAGTCTTATTGTAAGGGTCAATCAAAAAAACAGAAAAAAACTATAAAATTATAAAATTCAGGTGGATAGAGAAATTGAGTTTATAAAACATTCAATGTAAAAACTGTCCTTTTAATATATAGATGAGGCTCCATTAAACAAAATACTCCACAACAATCTAACGAGAGCAGACACAAACTACATTTAGTAATCAGTATGTTAAATGCTGATAAGTGCTATCCATGGGGGGAGGGCAGGTAGCAAAAGTGATAGCATTATAACAAGCTCAAATAATAAAAATTAAATAAAATAAAATTAAAAGTGACTTCTGAGATGCCTTTTTGAATGAAGAATTAAAGGTGATAAGACAGCAAATCATATGACTAATTAGTATTCCACTGGCTAACTGTGTTCCAAGCAGTTCTAAGAGACCAGCAAGTGGAAAGACCCTAAGGTGGCCAAGAGACTGGCAAAACTGGAATACAGTGATGGCAGGTCAAATGGGAGACGAGACGAGAGATTACTTAGTTTTCTGTCTTACATTTCTACCTTAATAAATCAATCTCTAGTCTTCAGGACAATCTCCAAATGTATGCCCTCAGCAATATGTAAGAGATCTCAAGCATCTTCAGTCTACACTAAAAAAAAAAAAAAAAAAATCACCTACAATTTCCACCACTTCAGGACTGACCAATATGAATGTCAGAATACAGGCACAATAGTGACATCCTTGGTCTTTCCTCCTTAATACCAAACTATGTCAATCTATCATGCCACAATTATGTGGCATTCTTCTCTAATTGCAGCCTTGTCCTCAACCCAGACATGACACAAATATAATGAAGCATTAATAATGCAACAAAAAGTTAATTTTAAAAAGTCTTCCATGTTCCAAGGGCTACACTAGCACAGTATAAAAACATTGTGCATTACAATAAGCACATCTTTTCTTGTAAACTCCAACATACTACCCTTAACTCCATACTTGATCTAATTCATCTGCCAGATGTCATCTCAGATCCAACTGTTGCTAAAACTACTAGCAGCAACCATAGGGCATGTGCTAAAGTCCCTCAGCACCAACCACTGGTAATAAGTTATCACGAGCTAGTCATTCTCTCTTCCAACCTCTTCTATGCTCAACAGCAAATCCTCATCAGACCGGTGCCAGGTTAAATGATGGAGAACTTTCATCTGTTCAAGTTAATTAGCCTATTCTAGAATTAAGTTTACGACAGCAGACACAGATTCTAAACTCATTTCTCTCTCACAAAGAAAAAAATGGTAGTCAATCAAGTTTTCCAATGAGAATCATTAAAACATAATCCAACAAATGCCCCAAATTTGAGATAAAAGGAGATGGATCTATACTAAGGGGCGCCTGGGTGGCTCAGTCAGTTAAGCATCTGACTCTTAATTTCGGCTCAGGCTACGCTCTCAGGGTTTGTGAGATCGAGCCCTGTGTCAGGCTCTACACTGACAGCATGGAGCCTGCTCAAGATTTTCTCTCCCTCTCTCTCTGCCCCTCCCTGCTCACACACATGCCCACTCTGTCTCTCTCTCTCTCAAAATAAACTAACAACAACCAAAAAAAAACAGATACATTTAAGTATTTAATGAAGAAATTACACACCCTAAGGCTTAATTTCACTTATTTCTCTAGTTTCACAGTATGTAACACCAAGCAGGATTTTTTTTTTTAACATTTATTTTTGAGAGATAGAGAAAGAGCACGAGCAGGGGAGAGGTGGAGAGATGGAGACAAGAAGATCCAAAGCAGGCTCTGGGCGGTGAGCACAGAGCCCAACATGGGGCTCAAACTCATGAACCAGAAGATCATGACCTGAGCCAAAATCAAGAGTCAGCCACTTAACCAAGTGAGCCACTCAGGCACTCCCCCTACCTTTATTTTCTTTTTAAAGTAGGATACTTCACACTTTCACACACTAGGAATAATCTACTTTTAGCTTTACTAGGAATGGAATACAGTAGGTACTTATAAAATACACAGTAAATATCTCAATATTGTTGATAAAAACTAATGAATGTTGAACACAGTATCTAGGAGTTAGGCTATACGCTTTACACATTATTTCATTTAATTCTTACAAATTCCCTCCTTCAAGAAAATACTAATATATCCTAATTTATAGCTACAGAATTGGTATTTCCTAGTGAATTTAAGTAACTTGCCCCAAGTCTAGTTAGCTGGCAGGAAGGCAGGACTGAAACCAGGTTTGGCCGTTCACAGCCCCAAGCTTTTAATCACTACCCTAATATATCCTGTCATCCTGTGTGAAAAAGAAAAGCCTCAGAGACTCTAAGTTAAAAGATACTTGTTCACAACCTAAAAAGAAGCATTATCCAGCTGTTCACAAAGTTTTACCCCAACTTGGGATTTTTATTATCTAAAAAAGATAAAGGAAGGCATTATCTAAGTAAAAAAAAAAAAAAACAATAAAAGAAAGTCAAGGAGGGATGCCTGGGTAGCGTAGTCAATTAAGCGTCCAACTCTTGATTTTGGCTCAGGTCATGACCTCATGGTTTGTGAATTCGAGCCCCACAACAGGCTCCACACTGACAGCACAGAGCCTGTTTGGGATTCTCTCTCTCCTATTCTTTGCCCCTCCCCTGACTGCTCACTCGCGCTCGCTCTCTCTCTCTCTCTCTCTCTCAAAATAAATAAATTTTTTAAATACGTTAAAGAAAGTCAAGATATAAAAATGGCTATTTTGCATCACTGGATATGTAAACAATTGACTAGTTAACCTTAAAATTTTACATTACACACACTATAGGCAGGACTAAATCTATTCTACACATATACATCTAGATTATGTAGAAATGGAGCCTATCGACCAAAACCATCAACTTCAAAAACAGTCCTATACTAGAAATTAGATAAAATCAGTGGCAGGAAAAAACAAACTGGTAATTTAAGCTGCTGTATTTCAGGAATACCTTTCACAGTATCTATGTGAGGCAAATCCATGCAGAAACATTTACTGAATGGTTTCTTTATATCACATCATAAAGATATTTGACAACTTAAATTCATTCTTACTTGCAACTGTCATCCTCTGAATCTGATATTTCACTGTTGTTTTCATCAGCTACTTCAGAGGTGTCTAGTCCCATCAAGATTTTACTAACATCAGTTTTAAACACCTTCTCATACAACAATTCATAAAGGAGAGCTGCAATTAATAAGAGAAATGTTATGCAACATTAACTAATTTTGTGTTTTAACACAAAATTGACAATGTCCATTGCCCAGGCTTCTAACTAGGTAGCTGTAACATTTTATGATCAATAACAATTTAATCAGGAAGTTACCTAGATAGAGAGCAACTAGAATTTGTCTCTACTATAAATTAATTCAAAATCATTACATTATATATTGCCATTTTTAAAACTAACAACACAAAAGGATATCACAACTGTAAAGCAAATATGACAATAAAAGCTAAACATGCATACTGAGAAACTGCACATTCCATGCATGTGTGAACCCTTTATATACGGTCATATTTAATCCCAGCACAGTCATGTAATATTATTCCAACTGTATAAGTGAGGAAACTTGAAAATTAGAGATGTCAAACAACCTGCCCAACCTTAAGAGACAAAACATTTCAGAAGGGACTCAAAAAACAATAAAATGTATTGTCAGCAGCCAATGAAGCAAAGCAGCATATTCAGACAACTTTTTTGCTTTAACAAAAAAACCACCCTCCAGGAAACATGGAAATATTTATTACCAAATACTTGAAAACAGATTACACATGGCATTTAGGACTCTCATTTGGTTATATTGCAGTGATCTTTATAAGACTAAAAATTCATCAACAACAGGTGCCCACCCTTTAAATGAGTCCCCAAAGAGACCACCTTCTCACTCTCACAGATTACCTTTCTTCCACCGTTGATTATCATTCAAACCATAGGCACTGACAAGTATAGGTAAGGTAGACTCCAGGAGCTATCCTTCCCAAAGCTGAAATGTCCAAATTTTAACCAGCTGGGAGAGGAGCACAAAGCCCAAGATACAAACAGGCTTATGCATCTCAAAAGAGATCCATCAATTTTAAAAACTGCACTACACATATCTTTACTGGTTACGACTAGCATAAGAACAGAGGGAAGAGCCGCTTCAAGCCCAGCATTGCTGCTCTGTGTGAGTGATGTGCACTTCATCAGCTAGATGATAAAGGAAATAAAGGCAAGGCAGAAAGAAACTACTAATGAGCCGATTCTCCACTGGGGACAGAGAGGGACTTTTATCCTCCTAGAAAATACCTGACAAAGACCAGAAAGATTTCTTTGCTGGTTGCAATGGGAAAGAGAACTGTCTACACAACATGTGCCAAAGATACTACTAAACATCCCACAATGCACACAACAGCTCCAACAGCATTATCTGGCCCAAAATGTCAATAGTGCCAAGGTTAAGAAACCCTGCTTGCTCTAGAGCCAAAAAGATCAAATGCTTGATTTGTTCATTTAGATTTTCAAGCTCTATACTAACAACTTCAAAAACACATACAAATACTTATTAATGAAGTGAATGACTGCAAGAAAAAAATAACTTCATATTTATAGGTCGAACTCAAGCTACTAGTTCCATATTTTCGTCAAATTTTTATTACAATATTAACATTTTTGCTAACCTAAGATTGTTACTATATCTTTGTATACAACAAAACAGAGTATATTTTCCTTGACTTGTCTGCACTGACTATATAGCCTAGGAATAGAACTTTCCATAGAAACATAAAGGTGATACTTACATTGACACATTGCAGAGTTCTCTTTATACTTTATGGGATAGACAATATCATAATGATTGCCATTTGAAAAACACAGTAACACCTGAAAGGAAAAAATTAAAGACATATTTTAGCCCTTTACATATGACACATAGCAACTTTTATCTCCAATTTCTCTGACTTACTAGTAAATAATTTCCAATAGAAAATGATTATGTTAGAAGCAACCTTAAGCTCCCAGGTGGCCAACTATGGTACATCCAATGCTGAAATGTTACACAGCCATTAAATTAAAAAGATCTTAATGACAGGTAAATAATTATCAGATCACAAAAAATACATACAATTCAACTATTTAAAAAGACCATTAAAAGACTGTAAGAAATATTAAATACTCCAAAACCCTATTAAACACTTACCTCTATGAGGCACAATCAAGTTAAATTTTTCTGATGTTTTACCAGCTTTTTTTTTTTTTTAATGTTCATTTATTTTTGAGAAAGCAAGCAAGCAAGAGTGGGGGAAGGGCAAACAAAGAGGAAGAGAGAGGATCTGAAGCAGGCTCTTCACTGACAGCAGCGAGCCTGATGCAGGGCTCAAACTCACAAACAAAGAGATCATGACCTGAGCCAAAGTCACACACTTAACTGAGAGCCAGTCAGGCACCCTAACGCTTTACAGTTTTAAGCATTTTCTAAAGAGTCAACTACTTACGCAAGAAGAAATACACACTGGTTTTGATTAGATTATATCATGTTCCAAAACTTGGATTGGAAAGGTCAAATCCAGAGCCAAGAAACTCCACAAAGTCCTTTTTAAAAAGGTAGCATTTTGCTCAATTCTCCTCCCCCTTACCACCATTAGCATGAGGACAAAACACTTTATATTGGCCTGGATGATTCCAAAACAAGTAATTAAAACACAGGTCTCTTAATAATGAATCAACTGAGGTTCTTTTCCTTTCTAGGCTCCCATAATTTTTTAGTTGTTTCCCGTTTGTGACTAGATAGTAACACATCAGCCAGTAAATTACTTTTTTAATGAGAAATAAATCACTATTATCCAAGTATTTCTGGATGCAATGGCAGAACCTACTTTCACAAGTTATTTTATTACTTAATGTTTATACTGATGCAAAAACAATCTAGTTAATCATATACACTACTATTGCAATGTTTTCTCCTCTACTGAAATGTTATGACAGGGTTCAACACAGTGATTTCTAGAGAAAATCAAACACAAAATATGATTCAAAGATGATTAACATTAACTTTTAAAAAATTATCATAACCTTCATACAAAAACATTTCAAGAAGTCACTTCAAAATTTTAGTTTACAAGGTGGCAAGTGGTTTTTTTTACTTAAATCCTTTAGGAACACTTAGAAAAATTCTTACCTTTTCAGGAAAATTATTTTCAGTTACTTGTGAAGGAGAAACATTTGGTTCCCGATAAATTATAAAATCTTTCCTGAAAATAAAATTTAGCAATTATTTCTGAGGGAATGTATTTCATGATTTGAGATTTAATCATTCGTTCATTTATTCAAGAGCCTAAAAGTGCTGAGCACTGTTCCAGGCACTGGAGATGAAGCAGTAAAAAAAAAGATAACAACAGAATAACTAAGTTGTAAGATACCTATATAACAGTATCTTTTTTAAAAAATAAAACTTCAAATATAATTTGCATATGTTAACTTTAATTATATCTATAAAAGAAGTCTTCAAAATTACAGCAATTGTGAAGACAAAATTGTATACAGTAATTTCAAATAGAAAAAAAATAATGCATTCACCTGCTCCTCTATCAGACAAAAGCAGTAAAATAGTAACATGGTTTTTTTGCCTCTGTACTAGCGGCTATCTGATGCTACTGGCCCTGAGAAAGTAAGAAATCATTCCTGTATAAGGTTGATACATGAAATATTGTTTACAGGCCTGGAAAAATGTATTTCTTTCCAAAAATATTTTGAGTTAAAATTTCTAAACACTGACATAACTAATGTCGAAATCTAATTGAGACAATTTAAAAAACTTTGGAAAAGATGCTTCACAACCAAGGCATAAAACTGCTTTAGTATGGAATATACTAATTTCTCACTGACTTTTTGTTTACTTATGTTACTACAGTGTTTACCTGTACATAAGAGAAAGGGCACTTATTTCCACTTGTCCAACCCATTCCTATATTGAAGAAAAAAAGTTGGCACTTAAGTGTCTCAAACGTTTTACAATACATATACCTCTATATAAAACCTTAATACGTACCTTTATACAATGTATCTAAGAAGCTAGAAAAGCTCATTAATATTAGTCTTGTGAATATTATGAAAGCATTTATATAAAAAAGATTTTCACTCTTTACTCTGTATTAATGCTTTTGCTATGAGAATGGGTTTCTATAGTGCTTATGAAATTAGTAAAGACTTACTACCAAGACTCACTTAAAAATAATGAGCTGAGCTATGGTAAGTGAACTTGGCAATGTTTATCTCAAAGAAATTTGAGATAAAGACAAGACTTTAAACACTGTTTTGAACTCAAACAAGGATAATCCTTCCCCAGAGATTTTTCATTTTAATAGTTCTTAAAAGTTGGCTCTGGTTTTCAAAATGAAATGGGTACCATATATTAAAATAGACTTCTTAAAATAGGCCTCTGCCTAACAATCATAGCTTCTCATAAATGGCTACAAGGGACACTCTCTGCGTAGAGATCGTTCACTCAGACCAGTCTGCTTAATTCACAAACAAAAGCTACATCTACTTCATGTGAAAAGTGTTGCCATCACTTCTAAAAATGGAAAATTATTCTACTAGTGTCGACAAAATACTATCTCTCAAATAACGTACCATTTCACAAGGACATAAATCCTTGGCATAAATTCTGTTACAGTCTGGTTAAACAATGGCTATAATAATATTATGTCTTCTCTAACCAGAGTCAACTTTAAATTATTAAAAAAAAAAAAAAAAAAAAACTATGTTCTACCATTGTCTTCTACCTTAAGGCTATAATTTTATTTACTCAGCACTTCTTATGATGTTTAATATACTTCCTTATTGTGGGTGACAGAGTAAAGCATTTCTGCAAAATTTGTTTTAACTAGTGAACCATATCAAAAACGTAAAAACACTAAAAACAAACTTTTGTTCCTAAGGACGCCATTAAGAAAATGAAACGGTAAGTTACAAATTGGAAGAAAATATTTGAAAGATACATTTCCAATACAATATGCTGGATAACTTCTATCCAGTATAAAGAACTATAATTCAATAAAACCAGCAACATAACAAAAGATGGTCAAAATCTATGACATTTCACCAAGATAAATGGATGGCAAATAAGCACATGAAAAGGTGTCAACATCAAAGAAAATACGCAACCACTAGAACAGGTACAATTTCAAAGGCTGACAAGACTGATATTCAAAGATGTAGAGCAGGTGGAATTTTCATATATTGCCAATGAGAAAGCAAAATGGCACAGCCACCGTGAAAAGGTTATGTAGTTTCTCATTAAGATAAGCCTACATTTACCATATGACCCAGCAATTCCATTCCTATGTGTTAATCCAAGAGAAAAGAAAATATATGTCCACACAAAGACTTCTATTATAAGCAAATGTTTTTAGCAGCTTTAATCATGAAACAGCCTAAAACTGGAAAGAACCCAAATATCCATCAACTGATAAATACATGGATGTGCAAATTGCAGTACTCCATATAACAAATGAGCACTCACCAATAAAAAGGAGCAAACTACTGATAGATCCAACAACACAGATGAGTGTCAAGGTGTTTCCATTATGCTAAGCAAAAGAAGCCAGATACAGAAACTACAGATACTACAAACTGTACCATTCCATTTATATAGTTTAGAAAAAGCAAAATTTACAAAACAGATCAGTGGTTGACAAGAGCCAGAAGGTGGGAGAAAAGGGATTAAGTGCAAAAGGACATGGGGAACTTTGTGAAGTGATGGAAATGTCCCTTATGTATCTGTAATGGTGGATACACAACACCTGCGAAATCTCACCAAATTATACACTACTTAAAATAGGTGAATTTCACCATGTCAATTTTACCTCCATAAAACTGACAAAAATATATTCTTGGAAAAAATTTGAGGCATTTTTCAAAATGATTCATTTGTTTATTAAGCAAAAGCATAAAGATGTTTTCTCTGAGAACGAGATGAAATGTTAATAGTTTATCAACTATATTTTTATTTCATACCTATGTAATTATCAGGGAAAAAGAAAAAGCAAATGAAAACATAAATATTTATTGCTAATAAAGAAGCAAAACAACTGTTGAGAAGGTACCTGTAAAACATCTCGGGAAGAAATTTAAGCAGAGGGGAGAACAAAGTGTCATAAAAATTAAAAAACTGGCCAGCCAACACCCTGAGAAAGAGGCTGAGCTCAAAACCACAGCAACTTCCCTCCTTCCTCTCATACAGACTCCCAGATCAGTCTTAGTTCAGTTCTTACTACCTCATTAACTCCCTTTATTCCCTCTCTTCATTCTCATCAGGTCCATTCTTTCTTAGAACCTCACAGCTTCATAGCCTAAATTGCTACACAAAGATTACCCTAACATTACACTGTGGGATTTTTCTTGAGTAAAAAGTTAATAAATGGTAGGGCACCTAGATGGCTCAATCAGTAGAGCATGCAACTCCTGATTTCCAGGTCATGAATTCAAGAGTCACAATGGGTGTAGAGCTCACTTTCAAAAAAAAAGAAAGAAAGAAAGAAAGAAAGAAAGAAAGAAAGAAAGAAAGAAAGAAAGAACGGGGTGCCTGGGTAGCTCAGTCAGTTAAGTGTCTGACTCTTGATTTTGGCTCAGGTCATATCTCACAGTTCGTGAGATCGAGCCCCATAGCAGGCTCTGTGCTGTTAGCATCTCTCTTCTGTCTCTTTCCCTCTCCCCCTCATGCTCTCTTTTGCGCTCACTCTCTTTCTTGCTCTCTCAAAATAAATAAATGTTTAAAAAAATAGGAGGGAAAATAATAGTCCTTGTCATTTCCTATATTTTCTATAATTCAAGTATAAACGACCAGTAATATGACTATAGAGATAACAAAATTCTGGTGTTTATCTTTCCTGTACATTACAAACAATGCAATATGGATTTAACATTCATTCAACACACACAAACTAATCATCAGTTTGGCACCCCAAATTAAAAGTAATGATGAAAAAAAATCCCAAAAGCAATAAAATATACAATCCTTTCCAAGAAGCTTTCAGGTAAATAGTAAAAGAAATAAAACTTCAGGAAAATGGTATTTGTGTCCATTTGATTTCAATACTGAAATCGCTGAATTAAAAATGAATTTAGATCTATAGAAAAGGCCTTCAGAGAGTATTTGTCTCTAAAACTGGCGTAATGCTATACTTATTCCTTTTTTTGACACTTCAGTGTACTGTGCACATTTTTCCATATATTAAATTTTTTTAAAAAAGCATTCAATTGGTCTTCCCACCTCTCTGGTCTCATCCACCTCGAAACCATCTCTGCACAGTATTCTTCTATCCAGCCAGCCAGTCAACAAAGATGCCAGGCACTATTCTTGGTTCTCAGGTTCTCAGCAGTGAACAAACCATACTCACTTCCTGCCTCAAAAACTTGAAAGGTTTCCCAATACCAAATTCTCAGGTCCCAGGCATAGACTTTGATTCAGGTCTGGAATAGTGGCTAGGCAATCTGTATTTTTACAACCACCTCAGGTAATTCCAAATGCAGATGGTCTATGGCTGACACTCTTGAAAACTGCTAGCCTAAAGCAAAAGCTTCTAACTACTGAGCCTAGCAGTGAATGCTCTTCTGTGATCAGCCCCACAGATGGCCCTCTGACTTCTCACTACCTCCTAGCTTCATTTGCTCTACACAAACTGAACTGCTTTCTGAAATCCACCTTGCTTACAATCTTCCCTACCTAGAAATGCCCTTCACCCTAGGCATTTCTCATCCCGAAATCTATTCACACTTCAAATGCCAACCCACTACTTCTTGCTTTGCCTACCTCAGTAAAAATAAAAACTTGAATGCCTATAGCATCATATCTGTAGCATTCTTTTTAATGCTTTATTTATTTTTGAAAGAGCGCACACACACATGGAAGCAGAGGAGGGGCAGAGAAAGAGGGGGACAGAGGATCTGAAGCAGACTCTGCACTGACAGCAGAGAAACTCAAGAACCGCCAGATCATGACCTGAGCCAAAGTCGGATGCTCAACCAACGGAGCCACCCAGGCACCCCGTCCGTATCTATACTTATGACTCGTGCTTTCTCACTTGCATTAGATATTTTTCCCTTTTACAGGGAAACTCCAGAGAACAGCACCCAAACCCGTTACTTCTGCATTCCCAGGGTGCCTGCCAATTCCTGGCACTCAACAAGGACTCCAACTAGTGTCAGAGAATCAAATGGAGACACCAACTGTTAATCAAACACACTGTCCTATATTATCCCTTTTCCTCCCTACATAAATCCTCTTCTTCTCTTCTTCCTTTGCTAATATCATTTTAATTAAACTCAACAGAGATTACCTCTGTGGAGGATAGAATATTCTACCGGGCATTCTATGTGGCATTTCATGATATTTGGATTTTTAAAAAGAAAATAGTTTTGTAAGCAAAAAAAAAAAATTCTTTTAACTTCAACATGACTGAGAAAGTATGACAGCAAGACTTGGGGAAATGCCATCCTTTTCTTTAACAGTCTCGTCTTTCTTCTCAAGCTGATGATGGGAAATGGAACTACATAAAAGAACCTGTCTTCTCAGCGGCCTAAAGAAGCAACCAAATCTTGCACCTTGTCCATCATGCCCCCAATACCCGTACCAACAAAGCATCCTGAAAATCATCACCGGTGTTATTGTAGGTCTTTTATACTACATTCAGATGCCATTATGACAAAGATAAAGATAGCATGACTCTGTCCTTAGTGAGGCAACATCCAGTATACAGCTCCAACTGGCTTCTAATTAAATGCTGCATAAAATGTGCAACTAAGAAATGTTTGTGGAAAAAAAGTACTCACTGTAACCCCTCCACACACTGTTAAGATTATATTTTAATAAATTTTGAATACATTACTTGAATATATTAAAAAAAGAAATATATTACAGAATCACTGCATACCTGTGGATTTTCCAAACGTTTTAAATACTCTTCAAATGACCCTTCTATAAACTGCAAAGAAAAAAAAAAAAAAGGTCTGTTAGAAATATATCAAAACAAAAAACCTTTTCATTGTGAATTCTTGAGTTCTTATGAATTCTTACATTCTTACATGAACTTTGGATACATTAGTAATAGTAATACATGCATATATATACAGCCTATTATTAAAATATGTAAAAATCATAGGTAAAGATCATAAATATACAAAAGAATTCAGAAAAGTAAACATTATCAGAAAAGATCTCCTGGACAGGATACAGACAGGCACAGCCGCAATGTGCTGTGAAGAGGCAGTGAGAGCACTATGTTGGCAAGACCAGAGTGAAGCAGCCAGGAGGAAAAGGAAAACTCGGTGAGGACAAGAGACTGAGACAGGAACTCAACTGGACACCTGTTTAGAGAAGACCATGAGCCCAGGAAGGACTTGCAGACTGAGGGAGAAGGCAATTCAAGGTCACTGCTGGTGACATTATGAACACAGAAACATACAAAGCAAGCACTAGGATTATTTTGGTAATGGCCAATAGAGAGAAGAGAATTAAACAAGGACGATATACTGGCTAAGAAATATTAGTTTACTAATACAGATATGAATACTGTCTCTTCGGTCAGACTAAAAACAGATGAGAATAACGCTAGATATTTTAGAGAACTAGATTTTTTATTTGCTTCATGCTTTAACATAAAAAGTTCACTCAAGCTGTGATGTTTTTTATTAGCCATCACAGTAATTTGAGAAATCTCCAAAAGACATTCATCTGAAACACTAAATTCAATTTTATTTAAATTATAATCCCAGTTAATTTTGCAAAGTGATACACTTAGAAACATACACTCTCCAGTCTATAAAAATCTTTTAAACGCCCATGATTTCTTTTTTTGAGACTGAGATTAATTATTTTATAGATCATATGCTGTCAAATGTCCCAAAAGTATCTTAAGCTTTAACACATACTTATAATAAAATAGCCACATATTTTAAATATCCCACCATAATCAGAAGCTACTCTTCTGTATTAGGTACTTATTTATACTTTAGGGGAAAAAATAAACCCACACAACCCTTTAAAGTTGGAAGAGACCTGAGTGATATTCTGACACAATCCGATCTGCATCCGATCTGAGATTCTTCCTTCTAATCAGAAAATATCTATCTAGACTCAAGGTAAATACTGTCAGTAAACAAGGCACACAACCCCCACCCTCCTTCCCATGACAGACAGCCTTTTCCAATTTTGGTCAATAGAAATTGTTTGAAGATACTTATTATAAAAGGAAATTAAAACTTTCCTCATTGGAACTTCCACCTCTGATCATACCTCTTAAGACTGTAAAGGCTAAATAAATATGTGCAAAGTGCTTAAACAATGCCTGGCACATAGGAAGTGACAACTACTTGTTGTCAACAGAGTTTTACGCTCTGGGACGAATAATAATGATAAATTCACTTGTAATTTCTGTAAAATACTTAAAGACTACTCCACTCTCCCCAACTCTCCCCCTTTTCTACCACACCCTAATACTCTTTATCTAGCCTCTACATCACCAGTTTTCTTTTTGTAAGACAAGTTCTCAACTCTCCTGATCAAGTGGATAACTCGCCTTCCTGGAATATATTACTGTTTTTCTTACAACACGGCACCCAGAATACACCCAGAATGTCACCAGTAGTTAACATTTTGCCTGAATACAGGAACACTAATCCAAAAGCAAATTAAGATATTAAAGAACACACACACAAATTAAGAGCTATTTACCTATTAAGTTTTAAAACTGAGTTATTTACAAGGTGTCAATTTTTTTTTGGCAATCAAAGAGGAAAAATATTGAAAAGTCATCAGATGACATAATTCCAAGTCATAAAACCAAGAACTAGTAAATCCTATTAAGGCTTTCAATATGAAAACAGGCCACTGTGGCATCTTATTTCACAGCCTACTATATACTACTGAGAAAATTACAGTAAGTTGTTATATAACATTCTAGCAATTATTAATCATTATTTACATAATTACAGTGTTGTGATATGTGATTCATGATGAAACCCGAAAATTAAAAATCTATAAATGCCTTCTGATAAAAGCAAAGGCTCAGTATTAGCTAAGTTCAGCATATTTTTTATGCCCCAAGTCTGAAATTGTTGAAATTCATAGGGGGTTACCAATCACAGAAAACTATTAGTTAACCCTGACCATGACAAGGCTCTTTTTTTTTTTTTTTAAATGTTTTATTTATTTCTAGGAGAGAGACAGCATGAGTAGGGGAGGGTCAGAGAGAGAGGGAGTCACAGACTCTGAAACAGGCTCCAGGCTCTGAGCTGGCAGTCAGCACAGAGCCTGACGCGGGGCTCGAACCCACGAACCCTGAGATCATGACCTAAGCGAAAGTCGGATGCTTAACCAACTAAGCCACCCAGGCACCCCAACAAGGCTCACTCTTAATATGCAAGGATTCCGTCCAAGTCATCCTGCCATCTTCCACAGCTCAGTATCTTTATATAGCAGCTTTCTAAACAGCTAAATAATTGAAAATCACAAAACAGCCTAAAAATCACAATTAAATATAATTAGATTTAAATTGAATAAAGTAGTTTTTTAAGAGGTTATCCTCATAACCTGCATTAAGACCCAGCCAGTGAAAGTCCCATCAGATCATCTTTACAGGCTGAGCTGTAAATGCAATTCAAGACACCATTTAATGTCTAAAATGACAAATTACCGCTTCAAATTTCTCTCTGTTCTCTCGAAGATAGTGAATACAGGCCATTCTGACTTCCACATGGCGAGACTGAGAGTGCAATACCTGAGAAGAAAAAGCAACACGTTACAAAACATTTTGCTAAACAAGGATTTAAGTTACAACCTAGCACTTTCTTTCACACCCAAAATAATCTCACAACTGATAGAAATCAGTCTCTATTTGCCTTTCTGTAATTTCGAAATGTTTATTCATTCCCACCTCTTCCTCTAACAACAGATGACATGATCGACAGTTCTCCTGAAGTCATTCTGTAACTCACTTATTACCATTTCTCCTTTAGGTCACTTCTGTGAGGAAATCTTTGTAAACTTAAGATAATTTCCTTTCACCAACGCTCTTATACCTCTGCTCTTCATAAAGCATGACTAACAGAATCTCTGCAAAGTAGTGGTTAGCTTCACCCCATGCTTGCTGGAAAAGAGAATAGGCAACTTCAACAGGAATCCTCTGTAAGACTTAAAGCCTGCAAGAATTAGATTTCTCCTTTCCCAATAATGCTGGGTTACTTGCCTTACCTACAAATTTACCCACTGTGGTTTCAGAAAAACTAAGGTACTCATTCTTAAATCCTTAGTTGTCAGGTTTACACAACTCTTGAAAAAACATCCAAGTGAGCAGCACGCAGGATGCAAACATGCTGCTCTGTGCTGTCATCCCAACAGCCTTAAAACTTGCTCTTAGTCTCAAAATATTTCATTTTTTTAAGTAGGCTCCACGTCCAACACGGGGCTTGAACTCAAGACCCCAAGACCAAGAGTCACGTGCTCTACCAACTGACCCAGTCAGGAGCCCCAGCCTAAACCAAAATCTTAAAGCACCAACTGAAATAAGCCATACTACAAGGATGATCCAAATTCTCTCATTTTGTGGCCTCTGTATTCTTCTGTTAAACAATTAGTTCAACAAAAAGATAACTTATTGGCATTTTGTCTCTTACTAAAATGCTAAAGCTTTAGTTCAAAGCAAACAGTATTATCAAATGATTAGGAACTCTTCTGGCTAACCTCCAATACTTTAACTATCATGCTTAAAAGATTAGAATTATTTCCTATTAATGGATGTCTCAAATGAGGGTGTTTCTTGTACCCTGAAGGGTCAAGGTAGAAAACAAAAACCTTGAAACATTTAAAATAACTACATACCGAAAATTAATTAATTAACCATACGTCAATAACATAAAGGAGCTTTAAGAGTTACAGATCCAGCCCCCCCCCCTCAGGCTCTGCACTGACAGCAGAAAGTCTGCTTGGGATTCTCTCTCTCTCAAAAATAAACTTAAAAAAAAAAAAAAAAAAAAAAGTTATGGTCCATTCAGGAAACAACAGATGTTGGAGAGGATGCAGACTTTTACACTGTTGGTGGGAAATGCAAATTGGTACAACCACTCTGGAGAACAGTATGGAGGTTCCTTAAAAAATTAAAAATAAAGCTACCCTATGAGCCAGGTATTGCATCACACTGCACTACTAGGTATTATCCAAAAAATACAATAATGCTGATTCAAAGAGGCACATGCACCCCCAATGTTTATAGCAGTACTATCAACAATAGCCAAATTATGGGAAGAGCTCAAATGTCCATGGAGTGATGAATGGATAAAGAAGATGTAGGGAGTATATAACACACACACACACACATACACACACACAATGGAATGTTACTCAACAATCAAAAAGAATGAAATCTTGCCATATGCAACAAGGTGGATGGAGCTACAGTATATGTATTACGCTAAGCAAGATAAATCATAGAAAAATAAATACATGATTTCACTCATGTGGAATATAAAAAAACAGATAAATATAGGGGAAGGGAATAAAAAATAAGATAAAAGCAGAGAAGGAGGCAACCCACAAGAGACTCTTAAATACAGAGAACAAACTGAGGGTTGCTGGAGGGGTGTCGGGTGGGGGGATGGCTAAATGGGTGATGGGCACTAAGGAGGGCACTTCTTGGGATGAGCACTATATGTAAATGATGAATCACTAAATTCTACTCCTGAAAACATTATTACACTATATGTTAACTAACTTGGATTTAAATAAATGTTACAGGTCCAGAGGCGCCTGGGTGGCCCAGTCGGTTAGGCGTCCGACTTCGGCTCAGATCGTGATCTCACAGTTCATGGGTTCCAGCCCCACGTCAGGCTCTGTGCTGACAGCCAGCTCAGAGCCTGGAGCCTTTTTCAGATTCTGTATCTCCCTCTCTCTGACCCTCCCCTGCTCACGCTGTCTGTCTGTCTATCATCTCTCTCTTTCTCTCTTTCTCTCTCTCTCAGAAATAAATAAAACATTAAAATAAAAAAAAAGTTACAGGTCCAAATAAGTGATTCTCCCTCATGTTCAGGGTGAGCAGATAATTTAGGAAAGGAGAGGCTCTAGCTGCACATTTTACAAGTCTCTTTGATAACAGCCAAGGTTCATATATAGTTACAAAACCGGAGGCACAACTGTCTGGACAGCTAGTTATGTCTTTACATTAAGATACACTGAAGATGCACTAGCTGAGGTTAGCAATGAGTTTGTTTTCAGCATACTAGCTGGTTTTCAGCTTAACGGAGTGCACTGACATTGCTATCTTGGGAACTATTAAAAAGCATCCTTATATATTCAAAGCTTCCAACCCTGGAAAAAATGTCTATGTATAAAAATAACCACCACACAAAAATTTTTTTGCAAATTCAACAAATGACATTTAGCAAACATGTCTTCCACAGAAGCTATTTTAGACACTATTATGAATCAAGGTATTATTACTTTGAGTAAACCAGTGTCCTCTGATAGGGCTTCCTGCCATTAGCCAAATGAAGATCGTCTTAAAGCCATTTACCTAGCAACAGGTGGCAGACATAACTGGATAAAACTCATATTCCATCAAAGACAATGGCAAACAAATCTGTTTTTTCCCCTCTTTTAAAAAAGATTTTATTACCACATGAAATCTGAACCTGTCACTCAGAAACAAAATTCTCAGCAACTTCCATCAGGTGTAGGGTGCTAGAGATTTACAAAGTCAAGCACTGCAAGAGAAGCAAGGTTAAATGACAACTATTTAAAAAGTATAACTGTGCAAGTTCAAGGACACTCAGGAAGAATGCAAATATTAAAACAAATATCTCAACTTATTAAACACACATACCAAAAACAAAAAAAAAAAACAAAAAAAAAAAACAACAAAGAAAAAACTAGAAAATAACAGACTTTCCAATCTTCACTTGGGACAAGACAGCGATAAACACTGGGAAAGGCCGAGACATACTGCTTAGCAAATCCTCTAAGAGCGCCCTATTTTTAGCTCCATGGCCACAGAGCTGATTCAGGTCAGGCCTCCTGCAGGCCCAAGTCCAGAAGTGTAAAAAGGGAAAGACCTATCTAAATCAGGTAATTTGGAGGGAAAGACTACTCCTAATTGAAGTCTCTCCCCCACCCTATCCCCCAAAGACTGCCAATTAGATTACTTACTCTGGCTCCTTCGTAGAAATGAGAAATTATTTTGATATTATTAGGAAAACTGTTAGCAAAAAAGTAAATCTTCTGTACATATTTTTAAAAAACACACCCTTTAAGCCTGACTTTGGTGTTACTTCCCTTCCCACCCCAACACACACACTTTGCCTTTAGCCATGAAGGCTACACCCTTAATCCACATGAAAAATGAGCGTCCCTCAAAATTCATGGTATTAAGCTTTCTAAGCTCAGCATACTAAAAATCACAGTCACATAATCAAAGCGGGTAGTATTTCCTTATGTCTAATTTAAATCCTATTACAAGATTCAATAAAATGTATTCTATGATGTGAGCAATGAGTTCTGGACGCTAGCTTTTGACCCTTTCTACTTAAAAAGAGATCTCACTTCAGTAAGAGGTTTCTGTATAACCATGTTTGCCAATTATGGCATACAAAATTGAAATAGATAGTTTTCTACTTCAATATAAACTAGGATCTCGATAATCCAAAGCCAAATAAGCACCATACTTCCCTTATTTCTTTCCTCTTTCCTTTCTACCTCGTTCCTTACCAAACTCGTGTTAGAGCTAACACTATATATAAATAAGGGCTGAATTCACTTCCACCCCTTTTCTCTGCTTCCGGAGGTGCTGAGGAGTCCAGGGAGGCTGAGGAGGAAGAAGGAGGAAGGCAGATGGAGATTCAGAAAATTCACAAATGGGACAGACTGTTTATCTACTAATAGTTAAGACTGGGGTGGGAGTGTGTGATCACATCCCACAACACTGAAACATCCTAAATTTCTAAAAATGAGAAAAATCTAATGAACTGAAAAAGACAGAGCTGGATTTGGGGAGTTGTACACAGAATGTCTGAATGGCAATGCCATTACAAAGCTTATGTCGTTAATCAATTTGTTAGAAAAAAAAAGATTTTATGATACAGATGTCAAAACAGGGGCCTCTGGAAAATAGCTGGCCCTCAGAAGTTGAAAAAAAATGAGAATAGTCTACAGATGTTAAGTAAAACACTCATAAACAGAAATTTTGGAAAACTATTTAGCACCCAAAAAAGGTGAGAAAAACAGAAACATAAAAACTCCACAGGAAAGGGGGGGAAGGAAAAGATCTTAAGCTGAGGTAAAGCAAACTGTGAAAGGTATGAAATACACACCAGGGCAGTAATGTGAAACTTTTGTCCAACTATCTCAGCAGCTATTTTTCAATATAGGATGGGTTTTGGGGATTGCATACCAACTACACACTGTTACGTAACACGGAAAAAGCCCTCTTATAAAAGAAAAAATTCTTCCTGTTAGAAAGTGATTTTGACCATTAGCAGGGGAAGATTGGGTCAAGAGCCTAGAGCACACCCAACACCAAAACAGACTTTTAAGAAGAAAATTATTTTTAGTAAACCCCGCAGAGTCTAACAACGGGTGGAATCTACTCCAAGACAATTGTTTTAAAACAAGTCTATATTTTTAAAAGGCTGACTTTCCCAAGCTGCCCATTTTTCCGCTCTTAATTCAAGCGGACATCGACGACCTAGACTCCCCCACATTCCAAAGTCCGGTAGAGAAAAAACAATGCTCTGCGAGTAATGCCTGGTGCACCACCTCCTCTCGTAAACACCGGTTTACTGGTGTGAACGCTGTGCTCGTAAAGCCGAGAGAAGGCGAATGCGGAACAGAATGGAAAAATATCATTTCGCCAAGTCCCCGGCAATCAATCAACCGAACGAGGCGCTCAACAGGCCTCACAGGTTGTCCTCATTACCTCTACACCGAGAGGGACGACACCCAGTTTTAATTTACGGGTTTTTAAGTTTCGATTTACAGCTTCCAGACCCAAGGATGCGTCCCATTCCGGCGTTACAATGGACCGCTGTGACGACAGCCGGGCCACGCGCTGCCCCGGACGTGGGCGGCCCGCACAGCTGCCCGCCGCCGCTTTCCCACCCAGCCTTCCCCGTCCCCCACCCCATTACCTGCTCCGCCACGGCCCGGAACAGGCACGACCCGTCCTTGGCGACCAGTTTCCGATACAAGCCCAGTTTCCGCAGATAGGCGTCCATGGGCGTCGCGTCCTCGCGGGGCCCCGCGCCGCCCTGGTCCACGCCGTCGGAAGCGCCGACGGCCGCCTCCATGTTGCCGGTCCTACTGCAGGCCAGGCGCGGCGCGGGCTAGCCCCACATGGCCGCGCCGCCGGCTCCTCGACGCCCCGGCCTAGGACGGGCGGCGGCTCGGGCTCCGCGGGCGGCGGCGGGCGGCGCTCCCCGCGCGCATAGGGGAGCCCTGCCTAATGCATGGCTGTGCGCACGCGGCCGCCTCCCGAGGGACCACGCGCCGGCGGCAATGGGGGCAAATTAAAGAAACCCCAAGCGTGAGAAGTCGCTGCCTGGCTCAGGAAAACAGCCGAGGGTCGCCGCCCCCACAAGTTTCCTCGTCCCGACTGGGGTGAGGCGAGGAAACCCCCGCCCCCCGCGTGCGCGGGGCCGGCTCAGGGAAAGCGAGGCCTGCGTCCCCCGCGCGCTCCTCACCCAGGGAGCCGAGGAAGCCGAAAGAAAAAGACGCGGCCTTTCCTTTCCCCACCTCACAGGAGGGCGCCGAAGGGGCGGGGAGCGGGTGAGGGCGCCCGGCGGAGGGCAGCACCCTCGCAGCCCAGAATTTGTTTTCACTTTCGGCCCCACAGCGGAGAGGACGCCGGGAGGTGTAGTTTTGGCAGTGGCAGGAAGTCGGCTTGCGGCGGGCGGGGACGCGCGGACCGTCCTACCCGGGGGCGGTGCCTGGGAGGCACGCGGACTACAAGTCCCTACAGCGCGGGCGCCGCCGCCGCCGCTGAGAGCCGGCTTCCCGCTTCCCAGGCACCGCGTCCGCCAGCAGGCTGAGGGTGTCCGCGAGCCGACGCGCGACGACCTGCGCGCGCCGCCCCGCCCGCCCGGCCGCCCACTGCGCCGCGGAGCCGCGAGAGCTGCGCGCGCCCTGCTTGCGTGGAGTTGCCAGGGACACGGCGGCGGCTAGGTCGGCCCTTTGTGTATTCCCAAACAGAGGGCGCACCTGTCTGCTCCCCTCCCCCCAGCCTCTTCTAGCGTTTCCATGGCGGTGGCTTTAACGGCTTGAGCAGAAAATAGAGCTAATTGGCGAGGTTTCCTGGAACTGGCAGTGTGCAGGACGACACAGGCCGTCCATAAATTAACCGTAGACTGCCGATTCCTTTTAGAAATGAGAAGGACAGCTCCTGCACAATGGCAAGTTGATGTCACAGAGTGTGTTCACCCTGCCTTTGTAACTGCGCACCGCAGCGCAAAGTGATGTCACTGGTCAGAAAAAGTGGTTTGTTTGTTTTTCTTTAAAAATCCATCTTGTGATTGCTTGATGACATGCTGGATTTTCCGTGGGTTCCAGCAATGTTTGAGGCTTCCAGCTCAACTTTCTACTCTTAAAAGCTGAATGACACGTTATGCTTTAGAACCCAGGATTTATCCAACATGATTTTGTGTCACCAGAATTTCACTTTGTTAACCTACTACCGCGTCTGGTGTCCTAATTATCAAAATACATAGTTAATCATAAACTCTACTCCAGTCTTGAGGCCTTATGGGGACGAGAGAGAGAAGAAAGGAAAAGTATAGGGTTACTATAGGTGTAGACATGCAGTCAAACTCTGGGATAGAAGCAAGGGGCCAGATGGTGAGAGTTCAAAATTCTGTTTTAAAAATTTGTTTTCAGTACTTTCTGTGCAAGCAGATTATGCCTGTTATCGGTTTCCTCGGAGCTTCTACTTTTGAATTCTTAATGTTTAGAGAATTTTGTCTCTAGCTATGCTGTTTTTAAAGAATACAAAAGTTATTGTGACCTAAATGAATTTTCTTGTCCCAATATTAAATTTTTTTAATGTTTTTTATTTATTTCTGAGAGAGAGAGACAGCGTGAGCGGGGGAGGGTCAGAGAGAGAAGGAGACGCAGCATCTGAAACAGGCTGCAGGCTCTGAGCTGGCTGTCAGCACACAGCCCGACGCGGGGCTCGAACCCATGAACTGTGAGCCAAAGTCGGATGCTTAACCGACTGAGCCACCCAGGCGCAATATTAAATTTTATACATTTTGCAGAAAAACACTTTGGAATGCAGTGTTTTAGAAAAATGCAGTTTCAAATCAAACCTATTTTCTTTCTTTAAAAATAGTTACATAGCATATATTTCTCATTTCACTCAAAAATAATTACCAAGTTTGCTACTACTTACAACATGGTTCGCCTTTTTTTTTTTTTTACATGGCTTGCCTTTTAAACCCATGGAAGAATTCAAATTAAAGTAATATCTAAACTGTAAAGCTTAATAAGTATTGAATTCTTAAAATGAGTAGATTCTATAAGTATTAATTTTATAAGCAACAGACTTTATGATGTGCCAAAAGAAAATGATTCCTTTTCTAATATTTATTTTAATATTCCTTCAATAAGAATTTCTGAATCTAATCTCATGTTCAATATGTATTGATGAGGAATCTATGTATCATGTTAAGATTACATTGCTGAATATCATGAGGCCATTTTAGAAACTTATATTTCCGGGGACCTCACATTTGAAAATTTATCAACCCTTGTTTTGTAGTTGAAATGTTAATGATTACTTTGCTTTAAAATGTTTTTAAAGTCAATGAAATACAAAGTTTTGCTCATTTTTCTTTTTCTTTTCTTTTTTTTTTTTTTTGCCCCACACCCAATATGGGGCTTGAACTCACTACCCTGAGATTAAGAAATGCACCCCCTGGGGCGCCTGGGTGGCTTAGTCGGTTAAGCGTCCGACTTTCGCTTAGGTCATGATCTCGCGGTTCGTGGGTTCGGGCCCCGCGTCCGGCTCTGTGCTGACGGGCTCTGTGCTAACTGCCAGCTCGGAGCCTGGAGCCTATTTCAGTCTGTGACTCCCTCTCTCTCTGACCCTCCCCTGTTCACGCTGTCTCTCTCTCTCTCTCCTAGAAATAAAAAAAAAAATTAAAAAAAAAAAAAATGCACCCTCTGCCAACTGAGCCAGCCGGGTCCCCAAAGTTTTAAGGTAATTGCACTTTGGGTGGCTGTATTTCAAGCATATTTTTTATTCCAAAGCCTAGACACATTTTAATTGTATTTAAACGTGCTTACATATATATTTTCAATAAAGTAATATCACTATCATCTAAAGCTCCAGAATTCCTCTGAATTACTTGGATAAGTAAACGATATCAGATACATCATTTATTCTACAATGTCTTTATTTTCCACTACAAAAATTTAATTCACTGACAATGGTATAATCAAATAAGAATGTACGTGATCATTTAAATAAGCATTCTACTATAGAACCTGACACTAATGTGCACTTTCATTATTTTTAAACAAAATTTATCAAATACTAAGAAAACATAAGCCTTTATCAGAACTCATCAAAATTCTATGTTGTCTTCTAAAACTGTGCTTTGTTATCAGAAGTTATAGAAGAATAACACATTCCAGTCTTTTCTACGTTTGATGTCTGGGCAAAATTACTTATTGTTCTCACCCCAGCTGAATGAATGCAGAACAGCCTCACTCTCAACTGACTGCTTCTGGTTCCAAAATTAGAAGTGAAACACCTGTTGTATCTGACCCGAGGCCTGTTTAAGGAAATCCTTTAGGTATTTTGAGACTTAATCCAAGACAGACCCTCTGTATGCCAAATCCCCAAATATAGCTCACTGTTCAGACAAGCCTAAAGGATCCTATGACTTTAAGCTGGATCCAAAGTTACAGAAACTCACTTTTCAAGGAACTTCTTAACATTAACTTATGAAATTTTTCAAGAAACCACATCTGATTGAAAATGTTTGCCCTAAGTAAGCCATTTGTGAACAGCTAATGTGAAGAACTCTTCTTTTTTCATCTTTAGTTTTTAAGTGATCCCAATGCTTAACACACGGCTTGAACTCACAACCCTGAGATCCCATTCTCTGCCAACTGAGCCAGCCAGGCACCACTAAAGTGAAGAACTCTTTAAACAGACATTATAGGGGCGCCTGGGTGGCTCAGTTGGTCAAGCATCTGACTTTGGCTAAGGTCATGATCTCACGGTTTGTGGGTTCAAGCCCTGCGTTGGGCTCTGTGCTGACAGCTAGCTCAGAGCCTGGAGGCTGTTTCAGATTCTGTGTCTCCCTCTCTCTCTGACCCTCCCCTGCTCACACTGTGTCTCTCTCTCTCAGAAATAAATAAAACATTTAAAAAATTTTTTTAAGTAAACAGCCCTTTTATAATCATATAAAACCTGAAAGACTGAATGCTCCTGAAAACCTAATGAAATTAATCAAATCATCTTATGCAAATATGCCAACTTTTTTTTTCTTATGTACAGTAAATACCTCAAGTTTGTTTTTTGCACTGACAAACTGGAACAAATAATTGTACAAACTTTTGTTTGTAAGCTGAGCATCTGACTCTTGATTTTGGCTCAGGTCAGGATCCCAGGGTTGTGGGATAGAGCCTCATATTGGGCTCTGTGCTGAGCATAGAACCTGCTTAACAGTCTGTCTTTCTCTCCCTCTCTCTCTCTCCCTCTCTCTTTCGCTTTCCCTCTGCCCTTCTCCCCTGCTCACGCTCCCTCTTTCTAAAAAAAGAAAAGAAGAGATTCTCTGGAGGTTGTTTTTCCAATAAAAGGAAGGTACTGTGGTAGTCAGCCTCTAAGATGGGCCCCAGTGATCCCTGCCTTTTGATATTCACGATCTTGTATAATCTCCCCACCCAGTATCAATGTTGGTCTACGTAATCAGCAAATAGAACAAAAACGACGTTCTGTCACTTCTAAAAGGTCATAAGATGCATTTCATTTCTCTCTTACGTTCTTCTTATAGGTGACTCTGGTGGAAGCTGTTTGCCATGGGTCCTGAGCAGGCTTAGCAGAGAAGGTCTCTTGTTACGAAACTAGAGCCTTCTGCCAAGAGCCACTGAGTTAGTTTTGAAGTGAATTCTCCAACCTAGTCAAGCTTTCAGATAACTGCATCCTTGGCTAAAAACTGCAACCTCATGAGAAACCCTGAGCCAAAACCATCCAGATTCTTAATTCTGGGATTCTAAGATTCTTTTTTTTTTTTTTTTTCAGTGTCTTTTTTTTTTTTTTTTTACAAATAGTTTATTGTCAAATTAGTTTCTACATAACACTCAGTGCTCATCCCCAAAGTGCCCTCCTCCATGCCCAT